TTATTACAGATGGATGCCACTACCCCCAAATACTCCAAGGGCAGGTACGAGGAAATTGTCAAGGAGGTGTCCTCCTACCTGAAGAAGGTTGGGTACAACCCTGACAAAATCCCATTCGTCCCCATCTCTGGGTTCGAGGGAGACAACATGATTGAGAGGTCCACCAACCTTGACTGGTACAAGGGACCAACCCTTCTTGAGGCTCTTGACCAGATCAACGAGCCCAAGAGGCCTTCAGACAAGCCCCTCCGTCTCCCACTCCAGGATGTGTACAAGATTGGTGGTATTGGAACGGTGCCTGTTGGTCGTGTTGAGACCGGTATGCTCAAGCCCGGTATGGTTGTGACCTTTGCTCCCTCTGGTCTGACCACTGAGGTCAAGTCTGTTGAGATGCACCACGAGTCCCTTTTGGAGGCTCTGCCAGGTGACAACGTTGGGTTCAATGTGAAGAATGTTGCTGTGAAGGATTTGAAGCGTGGTTACGTTGCCTCCAACTCAAAGGACGACCCTGCCAAGGGAGCAGCCAACTTCACCTCCCAGGTCATCATCATGAACCACCCTGGTCAGATTGGTAACGGTTACGCCCCGGTGCTCGACTGTCACACCTCTCACATTGCTGTCAAGTTCTCTGAGATCTTGACCAAGATTGACAGGCGTTCTGGTAAGGAGCTCGAGAAGGAGCCCAAGTTCTTGAAGAATGGTGACGCCGGTATGGTGAAGATGACTCCGACCAAGCCCATGGTGGTGGAGACCTTCTCTGAGTACCCACCTCTTGGACGTTTTGCTGTGAGGGACATGAGGCAGACTGTTGCAGTCGGTGTCATCAAGAGCGTTGACAAGAAGGACCCAACCGGTGCCAAGGTGACCAAGGCTGCCGTCAAGAAGGGTGCCAAGTGAACTGCTTCAATCGACCAAACTCTATCCGCAGATGAATCAAAGAACCATGTTACTTTTTTCACCTTAGTTTGTTATTTTGTTGCTTGTTTGTGTTACAGTTTCGTTTCTTCGCCGTCCAAGCGTCGTTCTCGGAATTGGGTTCTTGACCGGAGGTGGCGAGTTCTACTTTGCACCTTAGCTTGTCTTTTTCGTCTCATTTTATATCTGTTCTGAACTATTTTAAGAATTTTCATTAATGGATATCGTAACATTTGCTACTTATGTTAATTATTTGTCTAATTCTTTCGAATTTCAATTTATTCTCTCAATTCTCTTGTTTGTCAATCTCATTGCTCAATCAATTTACCTCCGTGACAGACCATGGAGTTCGCAAGTTCAAATCGGTTCTACTCCGAGGTGCTTTCTGCATAATCACAAAGTATTCCTTTGTTAAATTTCGAAATTTATCTGTGGACAATGTCTTACCACATTAATTAAAATAAAGTAAAACTTCAGTTTTACTAACCAATTGAATAAAATAGTTTGTAATCGGAGTCTAACGAGCAGTCAATCTTCAATAACCAATGTCGAAATATTTATGGTTGTATCTGAAAACTCTTGAGAAAATTGTTTGATATCGTTTTACATTTCTTTTGATGTTTTAACTGAAAATAAATTCAAGGTAAAGAATATTAAAAAATAAATAGACGGGTGTGAAGAAAAATTAGGGTGGGTCCACACCAGCGTCGGAGAGTAACCGGGAAAAGCCGACAAGCCCTAAAACCCCTATCCGCTCTGCTTTCTCCGGAAATCGCTTCATGGACTCTGATGCGAGGAGGAAGATTACCATCTCTCAGGGTTCGTCATCTTCTCCGAAGCCATCCAAGTTTTCTGTCTACCTGAACCCTGCTCTCTCCGCCGCTTCCACCGCCAATAGCCTCCGTCCCTCGAAATCCGTCCTTTTATTCACATTCGCGCTCTCTACCGCTTCCGCTTTCTCTCTCATTCCATTCATGGCCGGGTACGTGCGACCACCACTAGCTTGAACTAAGTACTGGTGTAAAGCATTGCCTCGTAGTTGAGTATTTGCATCTAGATTTGGAATATTTCTGGTTCAGAATTTAGTGCATTGCCATCTTGTTTGCTTTCTCTGTGATTTTTAGAATGGCATGTTGCTCTTATGAAATCGCAATCTGGGAAAGGTCTATCACGACGATGAAACTCGCAAGTCGAAAGTTCTTATGAGGCATCAGTGTTGACTAGTATTTTGCTTGTTTGTCTCATGTTGCAGTGAGAAACGATTGACCAATGCTTTAACATTCGGGATAATATCCCAAGAGGCAGCTTGTAAGTTGCATTTTCTCCACCGAGATTTCCTTTTTTCCTTATGTATTCTAGTTTCTATGTATCTAAAATCTACCTTATGCTTCAGATATCACTGTAAAGGCGTGGCAGTGTCTGGTGACTTTGTTTTGTATAGGAACAATGATGGCCTTCTCCAAAGGCATATCTCTGCACAGAGCAAAGTTTGCTGCCCAAGCAGAACCTAAAGCTTCCTCTAAAGAAACCAAAGATCAGTTTTCTCTATCAAATCGCCAGCTTGAACTTCTTGGGATAAAGAAAAAATCTGATCAGGGTGTATCAGAATTTCCAAAGAGTCGTCCCGTTTTGAAACCTTCACTGTCATTGGAGCCGCTTGTCCCAATACATCAAACTCTTACTGGTTCAGCGCATAAGTCTTCCGGTGGTGGTGATAAGCTGAATTCTCGTGGTGGGAGTCAGAGTAGCCCATATAGCACTCCATCCAAACAAATGGGTTCACCGTCTTTGTATCTCGTCCCTTCTAGTTCACCAGTTTCTTCTAACCGTGATTCGTCTGGTCAGGATAAGGCTGTTTCTAGTCCTTGGTCTGGTAGACGAAGTTCCACAAAAGACATTGCCACAGAGGAGCAGCTTGAGCAGCTTTTGGCAGAAATAGATGAGAAAATAACTGATTCGGCTGGGAAGATGAAGACGCCTCCACCTACAGCTGGGAGTTTTGCCATGGCTAGTCCGAGTACAGTTGGTGGTTCAACTGGTGCATCTGGGGCTACTAGGAGTACACCATTAAGACCTGTCAGGATGTCTCCTGGTGCTCAGAAATTTACGACTCCCCCAAAGAAAGGAGAGGGGGATTTTCCCACCCCAATGTCCTTAGAACAGGCCATCGAAGGTTTTGGGCACCTAGGTGTCTATCCTCAGATAGAATACTGGCGTGACCGACTAAGGCAATGGTGTTCCTCAGTTTTGCTCAAACCTCTGCTCAACAAGGTTGAAACCAGTCATATCCAGGTTTGTTTTTGGAGTCCTTTCTAAATAAAGACTGCTCTTCCTATGCTTGTCTACTGAATGATGGGTTGATGAGCACATCCGAATCGGTGGTAGAAGGAGAGTTTCTTGTTTCCTTATGTTTTTATGAACATTATTATTTAAGCTTTTTCATGTGTGCAGGTAATGCAAACAGCATCGAAGCTAGGTGTTACTGTCACAGTAAGTCAAGTTGGAAGTGATCTGCCAACAAATGGAACAGCTACCACTGCCTTACCGGTTGATCGAATAAAAGGGTGGCAGCCATCTTACTCCCTCGATGAAGATGCACTTCTTCATCAGTTACGCGCTACCCTTGTACAGGCTATTGATGCTTCCATGCGTAAGTAACTTTCATACACTTGAAGTTTAAGCGCTATTCTGTTGTGAAATTTATGTGATTAACTTAAGATTTGATTTTTCTTAATAAGTGTACTGAACTTAAGAAACGTTTATCGATTCGATATTAGAGAGAAATTAATGATCTCACCTCAGTTTATCTGTTGTTGGTAAGTATTTGGGTCCTCGTATACATGCTAAATGTTTCTTCTGCCATCTGCAGAAAAGCTGCGAACAGAGAACCAGCAGTTTCAGCAACAGCAACAGCAACAACAAGCAGCGTTAATCCCCGTCATGCAGGAATGCGTTGATGCTATAAGCGAACATCAGAGGCTTCAGGGCTTAATGAAAGGAGAGTGGGTCAAGGGTCTACTTCCACGCAGCAGCATTCCAGCAGATTACACCGTGCAAAGAATCCGAGGTATCAAACATTCATGTAAAATAAATATTTTTTTTAAAAAGAAATATTAATCTGACATATCGTGACTCTCTTAACTTTCGGCTTCTGGTAGAGCTTGCGGAAGGGACTTGTGTGAAGAACTATGAATACAACGGAAGGGCAGATACTCGTGAGAGAAACAAGAAATGGAGCCTGGAGCCTCCAACCGATTCTCATCTGCTTCTGTACTTGTTTTGTGCCTTCTTGGAACACCCAAAATGGATGTTACATCTGGACCCCAGCTCTTATACAGGGACTCAGGCGAGCAGGAACCCGTTGTTCTTGGGGGTTCTGCCTCCAAAAGAGAGATTCCCAGAGAAGTACATCGCAGTGGTATCAGGTGTACCTTCTACGCTCCATCCTGGTGCATGTGTGCTTGCTGTAGACAAGCAAAGTCCCCCGAGGTTTGCCTTGTACTGGGATAAGAAAGTGCAGTTTACTCTTCAGGTAGTGACAAATGCTTTATCTGAATTAAGTATATTACTATAATATGCATTTAATAGTTGCATATCCAAAAGAATGTGAAAAAAGGGTTTCTGAATTGGTACTTGGAAATGGAACAGGGAAGAACAGCGTTATGGGACTCTCTGTTGCTGATGTGCCACAGAATCAAGGTGGGATACGGAGGTGTTGTTCGTGGGATGAATCTGGGTTCCTCAGCCCTTAACATCTTACAAGTTGTTGATTCCGAAACTGACGATTAAAACTTATTTGTCCCATCGATCATGTTAAGGAGACTAGTTGCTTGAGAACAGTATCCATGTTTTGCTAGGAGGTGGTGGTCTCAATTAGTCATTGTTAGACGAAATTGTAGTGAGATTAGTTCTCATTGGGTACCAACTTATTCTTGTGATAAGTAAATATTGATGATGCTTTTTTTTGTCTGCCCCAATGTTTCAGAATTGAGTTGTCATTGGTTCGATTATTGGTTCTAGGGATACACAAAATATGAAATTTTAAAAAGCACAATGCAGTTGCTCGAACATACAACGGTCGAGTGTAAGAAATATGGACTACCTAGGCTTGTGTCCTTGTTTCACTGTAACTAAAATGGAAACTGAATTTTTTTAGCAAAAAGAGTATGGGTTTGAAAAACATATAAAGCCGAAGACCTCTACAAGATCTCTTCCGCCATGACGATGGGGTATCGAATTTTGAAGCCATGCACGCCTATCTAACTAATGGTGAAAGTCATAGTGAAACTAGAAGCCAAAGTGATGAATCACAGTTCCTTGTCTTCAAGCTGAGCTTTTTCTGCTGCTTTTTCAGTTTCTTCTACGACAAAGGCCTTGAGCGATTCAACGTCTCTTTTTCCTGAGTTTATAAACAGATGTATGAGAAAAGAAGATCAACTTATAGTATTACTCAACTATATAGGCACCAAACCGCAGGTGCATGTAAAAGCAAGTTTACCTTGATATTTTGTAACTTCTTCTCCGTTGTAAAATAGCTTAAATGTTGGATATGAGTGAATATCAACTTTGGTGCAAACAGCTCTGCTTGTACCACAATCTACTTCACCAATCTCAATTTCATCGTCTCCCTCCATTGCTTTTCCCAAATCTTCCCACAAATTCCCCAATTTCTTGCTGACATTCAGATCCGATTTCATCAACAAGTGATAAACCAAGCCAAATCACTCAATAACATATTTTTCAGGAAAAAAGAATACTAACCAGTGCTTACACCAAGGAACACAAAATTTTACAAACCATGCGGTATCCTTCTCTTTCACCTGAACCAATAAGCATGGAGAGAGAAGAGGGTAAACATCACATCACATTCAAGAGATTTAACCATCTGAAGTTGAACTTTGTAATTGGACAAATTGATCTAATTCCCCAAAACTCCAAAACAAGATTACAGAGCCAAGGAAGAAAAGCATAATGTTATCTTTGATAGGGAATTGGCATATAATGTTACAAGCCTTGATAGTCTAAGCGCTAAGGTCATCAAAAACTAAACTAAAATGAGTATCTATAAATACTTAGACCAAGCAACCTTAAGCCAGTCGCGCTAACTGCTAACCCATTCTCAATTCGCACCATCAAATGAACATAGAACAAATAACTAAATCTACCTGATTCTAGTTTTTTTTAAAAACGAACACTTGAATTCACACTAATGAAGATAATCAAGGGATAATAGCAAAAGAATCATTACCTTGTCAGAAAAGGTTTCTGGGGTCAGTGTAATGACTTCCGCTTTCGTTAATTCAATCGTGAGAGAAAGGACAAGTATAATCATGGGAGCAATAACCCAAGCACCGAGCTTCATCGTACCAAAACCCAGTTTTCTAGTTCGCCGGTTTTTGGAACTTGTCTTCTAATTTTTGAAAACTGTAAAATAAGAGTCGAAATTCTAATCATAAGAAACTTCTTCATCACTATAACGTTTACAGCATATTGAATAATTATGCAAATCCGAAAAAAATTCAAAACCTTGAGAGCTTAATCAAATAAATTTTCTATTCGAAATTCGGGTTTGGATCCGAAGAAATTCCAAAGAGGTGGAGATGCGTAAACTGAGAGCAATCAACTCAGTCAATTTTAATTTAGAACCAATACGAAGAAATCGAATCGAGATTCATCTCAAGAAATCAAACGGATCAGATAGAGAGTAGGGAGATGGATCTTAGATGAGACTGAAACGCTTACCTTAAGCAAGCACCGATAGAAAACAAACAAAAAAACCTAAAAAAGTCAAACAAAATAGCCATCTCTTTTGGTTTCTTCTCTGATTATTTTGGGCCCTTATGGGCCGGTCTAATATTTGGGGAAGATTTTATTCGGCTCAAATCTGTGAACGACAAGGCTCCATGATACACAATCTAAAACAGTAAAATACAGTGTAAGGAGCTTGCTGATGATGCTAATGTGAAGAAGGCTTTTGCACAATTCTTTGAAGTCTCTGGTTTAATGTTTTCTTCTTCTTCTCTTCAGCTCTAGGATGTTATGTGCGCATAGAAGTATGGTATAGATCAGACATGTTTGTTTTTACAGATATATGCTCATATTGCTTGCACGAAATAGAAAAATTGGAAGAAACCAACAATGTATGTGAAGATTTAAAGAGACAAGGAGTTCTGTTTGAGCAGCATACATTTGGAGACCTTGTTCGAGCATTATTGGAGAATGAACTTCCGGTGAAAGCAATGCGATTGTATGAACTATGAAAAGATGAGAGAAATAATTGATACTACTAAATGATGTCTATTTTGCTTTTAATGTGAACTAAATTCCATTTTTGGAAGACTCGGTTCAAATTAAACCTGACTCGGAATATATGACCGACTCCAAAGGCCCAAAAACAAAAGAGCATTGACGGCGGATAGAGGGGCATGATTGTAACTTGCACATAATATTACATTAAACCCTTGTTCGCTTCGCCACTATATTTAGGCTCGTAACTCCTCCTGCACTAATCCCTAGCTCGCTCTTTTCTTCATCCTAGCCGCAACACTCTTCTTTCTGCGAATATCGCTGAGGTAAGCATTTCTTACGCATGTATCTTCCGATTTCTTTTAATATTCTTCTGATCTATGCTTAAATCCTCGTATTCAATTTGGCTCGATGCTTCTTCACATGTATCTCTAGGATTCGATCCTCTTTGTTTATAGATCATTTTGAGCATCTGTTCCTTGGTTTAGAGATTATTGATTGTTTTTCGCTGATAGATTATAAACAATTTTTTTTCATCATTAGATCGATCTGGATGAATTGTTTTGTGTGATAGATTAGTGGTTGGATCTATGTGAATGAACTACTTGATTTTCGTTTTAGGATGTATTTGATTTCAGTGATCGAAATGTCATTTGATTGGGAAATTCGATGGCATATATAATCCAGTTTTACCTTTGTCTTGAATTAAAGTCAAAGGAAACTCTCGGATTGTTTGCTATTGATCTCTTGAAATTCCTGCTTTCCATGAATTATAGCATGCTTAGCTCAGTGGATAGAGCACCACAAACTTTTTGTGGTAGAAATCGGTTCGACTCCGATAGCTGCTTTTTACTATCAACGTTTGGGAATTATGAATTCCATGTTTATATGTCTTTTGTTTTGTTTAATTTCATATTGATATATGTCTACTGTTCTGATCGTTTTTATATGATTTTGATTCAGATTTATTTGACAAGCAGTCATGGGTAAAGAGAAGTTTCACATCAACATCGTGGTCATTGGTCATGTCGACTCCGGAAAGTCAACCACCACTGGTCACTTGATCTACAAGCTCGGTGGTATTGACAAGCGTGTGATTGAGAGGTTCGAGAAGGAAGCTGCTGAGATGAACAAGAGGTCATTCAAGTACGCGTGGGTGCTGGACAAACTTAAGGCCGAGCGTGAGCGTGGTATCACCATTGACATTGCTCTCTGGAAATTCGAGACCACCAAGTACTACTGCACAGTCATTGACGCACCTGGACATCGTGATTTCATCAAGAACATGATTACTGGTACCTCCCAGGCTGATTGTGCCGTCTTGATCATTGACTCCACCACTGGTGGTTTCGAGGCTGGTATCTCCAAGGATGGTCAGACCCGTGAGCACGCTCTTCTTGCTTTCACACTCGGTGTCAAGCAGATGATTTGCTGCTGTAACAAGGTGAACTAATAACTCTTCATTTTGGTTTGCTTATTGTGATTATCATATTACTCTTTTTTTGGTTTGATGCTAACAAATGTTTTGTATATTTTCCTTATTACAGATGGATGCCACTACCCCCAAATACTCCAAGGGCAGGTACGAGGAAATTGTCAAGGAGGTGTCCTCCTACCTGAAGAAGGTTGGGTACAACCCTGACAAAATCCCATTCGTCCCCATCTCTGGGTTCGAGGGAGACAACATGATTGAGAGGTCCACCAACCTTGACTGGTACAAGGGACCAACCCTTCTTGAGGCTCTTGACCAGATCAACGAGCCCAAGAGGCCATCAGACAAGCCCCTCCGTCTCCCACTCCAGGATGTGTACAAGATTGGTGGTATTGGAACGGTGCCAGTGGGTCGTGTTGAGACCGGTATGCTCAAGCCCGGTATGGTTGTGACCTTTGCTCCCTCTGGTCTGACCACTGAGGTCAAGTCTGTTGAGATGCACCACGAGTCCCTTTTGGAGGCTCTGCCAGGTGACAACGTTGGGTTCAATGTGAAGAATGTTGCTGTGAAGGATTTGAAGCGTGGTTACGTTGCCTCCAACTCAAAGGACGACCCTGCCAAGGGAGCAGCCAACTTCACCTCCCAGGTCATCATCATGAACCACCCTGGTCAGATTGGTAACGGTTACGCCCCGGTGCTCGACTGTCACACCTCTCACATTGCTGTCAAGTTCTCTGAGATCTTGACCAAGATTGACAGGCGTTCTGGTAAGGAGCTCGAGAAGGAGCCCAAGTTCTTGAAGAATGGTGACGCCGGTATGGTGAAGATGACTCCGACCAAGCCCATGGTGGTGGAGACCTTCTCTGAGTACCCACCTCTTGGACGTTTTGCTGTGAGGGACATGAGGCAGACTGTTGCAGTCGGTGTCATCAAGAGCGTTGACAAGAAGGACCCAACCGGTGCCAAGGTGACCAAGGCTGCCGTCAAGAAGGGTGCAAAATGAACTACCATCAGCAAAACTCAATCAACCGCAGATGAATCAAAGAACAATGTTACTTTTTTTACTTTAGTTTGTTATTTTGTCGCTTGTCTGTGTAGAAGTTTCCTTTTGCCTCCGTCAAAGCTCGGTTCTCGGAATTGGGTTCTTGACCGGAGGTGGCGGAGCTTCTTTCCACTCAAGCTTCCTGTTTTTGGCTTTTCTTTTGCTTGCGAGTTCTGAACTATTTTTGGAGATTCTCTTATTATGAATTTGGTGATATTCCTGCGGTTATTGTCTTGTCTAGTTTTCTATTGTCTCGTTTTATTTTCTCTATTTTTAAATTGCAATTCACATCATCGTCTGAGTCACGAGTGCTGGTTAAGAGACTAATCGTTAATTTAATTGGATTTGACATGATGGTTAGAGCTTTAATAAAGGGGCTAATTGGTTAAAAAACATATTCTCTTACGACAATAATAATTGGTTTAGAATAATATTTTCTTAATTTTGATTTTTATTCGTTTTGCTAATATTTTAACTTGATTTGTTAAATTAATTGTAGCCAAAATTATAATCTCGACAATCTGTAGTTCTCATAGTCTGTAATACGATTAAAAAAAAAAATTATAATCTCGACCACTCTAACAAACTCGAACTAGTTTAAAAAGAAATAAAAAAATAATGTATACACAGCTGAAATAAACTATGTGCAATCTCAGTAGGAGAGTTATGTTATTAAAAAAGGTCACGATAACCATGACTGACAAAAATTTCCAACGGATCAGCTTTGGTTCCAACCGGTTTCATATATTTCATCCTGCATCTGTCACTGTCATGCCTCTTTCCCATTCCTCTAACGCGACCTCCGCTTTTAGTTTTTCAGGAACACAATCTGCGGATTTAATATTTTACAAGTTACATTAGATTACAGTAGCCGTGAGTATTAGAGAAACGAATACTTCATAGTATATTAAGTACCCGCAAGGAACTCATATCTCTCTTCGTTACTCACTACAGATGCTGCCAATGAGAAGAAGAAGAAAAAACGGTTAAATATATTTCAATTCATCATATCTTTGTAATAGAATTGATTGTTTTGCAACCAAACTTGCAAATTATGAGAACAGATGAACACATCAACAAAGAACGACTGGCAATTGCGCATATACCCCAAATGGAGACCGTATGCCACAATATTATCGGTGCATCAGCATGAGATTTTCGACATGGAATTCAGAATTGAGATTAACATCTGAAGCAGTTAAGATTCCAGATTAAGGCAGATTTGGACAAAAATAGAGCTTACAGAGATGTTTGTAGTGGATGAATTTCTTTTTGTCCTGGACAGAGCTTTCATAAGCTTCTTCAGAAAACCGCTCAATGAACAATTCCTTCAAGTTACAAAAACAAGTTAATGTACTGTAAAGGCCATGAACATCGATTTCTAATAACACGATGAAATTGAAACAGGAGAAAAAGGGTGAAAAACAATGCCGAGTTCCATTACACACACAAGAAACAAACTACTCCTCATGCGACTCAGCAAACAAGATAAGTTATGCCCTTTCAGCGCCTAGTGTTTCCTTAAAACTTTTTATTTGATTCAAACTTTTTTACCTCCCAAAATAAAACAAAACATTCTTCTCAATAATATTGGCAGTTTTGATTGCCTAGAAGCTAGACATCCAAAAAACAGTGAAATCAAAAGCAGAATCTCCAGTTAAGCTTTCAATATATGAGCTTAAACCATGTTGCGCAGATTTAGTGTTCAACTCTGAGATTATTAAGACTTTCTTATGTGTTTGGGATCTATAATTCCAAATCTACAAAAGCGAAGAGCTAAACCTGAGACAGTAATCAAGTAGTAATTATGGTTTCATCTCAATTCTCTCAAGGTAAAGCACTTGAAGCACATGGATGAATCAGACAACTTCAATCCCCAGCTAAACTAGCAGACGCAAAACCATTATGCAAAGAAAAAAACTCGTTACCATGGCAATTTGCGAGAGTATAATGCCTAATTCACACTGATTAGCAGTTGAATTCAAATTGTGTATCTCCTAAACTAATTAATTAGATGCAAGCTTGATATATACAGTAATTATATGCAATATTATTGATTGGTACAATACCGTGGCTTTGTTGACAAGAAAAACGGCGTCCTGCATGATCTGAGGAGCAGTATTATCGCTTCTCATAATCCGCCGAATCCGATTCATCGGAAACCTAATCGTCTTAGCGTCTTCAACGCCTCCGCCGTCGTCCTCTTCCCCGTTTTTCCTCCTCTTATCCCCCTTCCCGTTACAGCCATTTTTCACGACGCCATTACTTTTCTTCGACTCATCACGTCTCGCTTCTTCCACAGAGCCGCTGCTCGAAGATTCCGAGATCTCGTAAACCTCCGGGTCTTTCTTCACGATGGCCCCGGATTTCGCCTTGTTCGGCGTCTTCTTCTCTGCTTTGGAACCGGAGACACGACCACCAGCTTTATTGACGCCATCGCTCTTCGGCTTCTTCTCCTTGTTCGGTTTCTTTGACGACACCATTGTTCAGAACTAACTATGTTTCACCGGTTTTCCTTGCCGGAATAAAGCCAATGGAATGTCGATGGATTACAACATGGGCTTATATATTTGAGCCCATTTTAGTAATGATCAATTTACATAGCATAGGCCCAGAATATTGGACAAGGTGATGTGATGTTTGACTGTCCGAGTAGGACCTGACTCCGATCATACCAACACTTCAATAGTTTTTTTCCTGTATCCGTATCAATTGTAGTAATGAGTAGTTTGAGAGAATTTAATTCCTATTTCCTATCCCTATTTATGCTTGTGATTTACCCACATATGATAACAAAATTGACTTTTGTTTTTCCTAATTAAAAAACGGTAAAACAATCTAGTATGAAGTAAAGATGGGTTACCTTTACATTGTTCATGTATTTGGTTAGCAAGGTTAAGTAAACATTGCAATAAAAAAAAAACTAAAAACATTATCTTGTTTCCGACATAATCTTGGATATTTCAGGGATCAGATAAGGAAGAATGGAGTAATGTTGGATGTATGACTGTATGAGACAGAAGAGGTGTCCGAAAACTGGATCATGCACGTGTGATCAACGACACGCGTGAGACTCTAACTAACTCTCTTTGTAATAGTAAACGTGTCCTAGTTCTTGTCTTCAATCTCCAATTCCGATCTTAAATAGAGACAATTACGAGTTTGGCTTCTGATACACTATCTTGTCTCTTTAACTAACTCCGACACAACCAAAGCAGTGAATCGTGGCATTAAACGTCGTTATTATCAATGGCTCTTGTAGAAGAACCCATCCTTTCAAGATTGGATCGTATTGATTTCATGGTGAGGAAGCTAGAGGAGATGAAAGGAAGCTCACCGAGAAGCTCGAGCCCATCGACTCCATCGAGTGGGACTCGGCCATCGTCACTGGATCTGTCGTCGCCGAGGAGCACAGGGAAGCTTCAGTCCCGTTCGATGGAGCAAGTGATGGAGGAGACTGAGCGTAAAGGTACTTTGCTAGAGAGACTAAACAATGTGGAGGAGCAAGTTCTTAAGCTGTGTTCACAGTTTGAGGAAGAGGTTGAAGAAGAGAGAAAGAAAGAGGAGAATTCGACGGATAAGAATAAGAAGACCAAGAAGAAGAAAGGATTGAGGAAGCTGGTTGATAAAGTTGTTGGATCTTCTTCTCCGACTAATATCCACTCCAAGAGCTGGCGTTGCTGAGCTATTTTTACTATGTTCCCTCGTCACCGATGATGTATAATTCGACTATGTTTATTCTTCTTTTTTTTTGATGGTGGTGTTTTTTTTTGTCGTTCTTTATGGCTTGAGTTCGATTGTTTGTTTCAAGAAAAAGAATTTGATAAATATCAATAATCGATGTAAACAAAATCGTAGAATCTGTTCATTTCTATGATAATGTATGGTGTTTGAGCATTTAGTTTATTTCGTAGTTGAAATATTTTTGTGAGCGTAGTTATCCAACTTCAACCACCACAACTTTGAATTCTCGCCGAAAACGGTCAAACAACCAAGCTGAACAGGGTGCCTATTTGTTAAAATAGAATGGTAAAACCACGTTTTAAAAATATAAATTTAGACTGTAGTAGTATGGATAATTGGATATCGTAAAAATACACTCGGCTGTCCACCTCTTGATGTCCATATTTCAAGAGCCAATTTATATGTTCTTGGAGCATTGGGAATATTTCAAATTTTAGATTTTAGTATCTGTGATTTTAATTATTTTTATAAACCATTAAATTTTAGTAGTTATTTTGTTCGTTAAATTTAATGTTTTCAGTTCGGATAATTGCCTACTTCAGCGCAAAAGGAACCTTAAACCAACAAAAACAAAATATAGATTATTTGAGTTTATTCATTTTGATTTTGTACTTCAGAGTTGGTGTACTGTTTTATTGATTTCTCGTTACTCTATCCTATCCAATCATTTGCACTCTTTTATTTATCCACAAAATTCCTTGCATATTGTTCATCCCGTTGTAATAACACAATTTCTGCCAACTATATATTCCGCAAAAGAGCTGACTTTTTAATAAATGTGATGTTTGTCACAAGTCACCTGCTTGGTGACGCAACTAATCCCGCCTTGTTAACATCTTCATATATCATCACCATCGTCATGAGTACTACCTCTCTAATGTAATACGTACAAATTTGTGGAATAGCGATTTACTCAAGCTCCTTTATCATAAAAATATATAAATAATATAATACGCTCAAGCTTTTCCCCCTTTTTACTTTTTCCCCTTGATTAGGCGAATTTCGGCCTCGATTTTTCAAAAATTTCGATCTCAGTCTCTCTCCGCTCCCCTTCCCATCATCTCAGGATCGCAATCTCCTATTCGACTGATCGGTTAGGGTTTTCCAGCTCCCAGACGGAATCTCTACTCGTCTACCGTGAAGAAGCGATTACCTAGATTCATTTCTAGGTTCTAGGTTTTTTTTTTTTGGCGGATCTAGCCAAGTTCAGCTACGGCGAAGCTTTTCAGTTCCACTCTTCCCTCGCAGCCATGTTCTGGAAGCTCACATCTCTCTCTGCATCGTCTCCTGTGAGTTTAGGAGATTCTTTTCTTTTCGTCCATGTCCAGTTGTATGATTGCTTTTCCCTCGAAATTGATTTCATGTTTATTTCTCCGTGTTTCGTTAGTTTAGAACGGTTCTTCGTTCGCGATCATCTTTTTCTGGAGAAACTGATATGGTTTCAAAGTAGATTAGACGTGAGTGGATGGTTTCTCGCCTATGCATATAGTTTTTGTTCGAATATTGGAATTTCTTAGTTTCGATTTTGTGAATAATTCGTACCTCTTACTTCTGTGACGCGTTCTGCTCTGTTGTCATTCTTCTGGGATTGTGTATGCCTCTCTGTGTGTGTGTGTTCCATTTGCTGCTTTCTGTTTACCTATGCGTTCTACTGAAATCTGTCTAAACATAATTATAAAGCCTATCATATGATTTGTTGGAATTTCGATTGTTTATTAGGGAAGAGATTAAGACAAATGTAGATTTGCGAAATTTCTCTTGATTCTTCCCTTGAACTCGTGGCTGTGTTCTTGTTCCCTTGAACTCGTGGCTGTGTTCATGATAGTTTAGAGTTGCTCGTTTATTGATGTTCTTTCTTTATGCTACGAACATAGGTTGAGACGATATTAGACAAAGAGAATTTCACGTTGGAAGAGCTTCTTGACGAGGAAGAAATTATTCAAGAATGCAAGGCTTTAAATAGCCGGCTCATAAATTTGTAAGTTTTTTTGTTTATCATTTAGAATCTGCTTATTTCCTTCAATCTGTTTCACAGTACCAGATAAACCTTATCCTGGATATGGAAACCAGTGTGTCTTCTGTATTTCATTTTTATTTTCTTGGAAAACTTCTTTGATTTGGTATTAATGTTTGCAGTCTAAGGGAGAAAGCTCAAGTGGAGCAATTATTGCGGTACATTGTTGAAGAACCTCCAAGTGATTCTGATAGTAAACGTGCCTTCAAGTAACATGCCTTCTTGATCTAACTGGAGTTATCTTATCTTACCATTCTTTTTTTCTCTAGCTAATGATTAGAAACTTCCATCTTAGGTTTCCATTCATCTCGTGTGAAATATTTACATGTGAAATTGATGTTATCCTAAAAACGTTGGTGGAGGATGAAGAGGTATTTTCTTCATTCATCATGTTACCGTTTCCTCAAATGACAGTTCATACTTCATACTTTTCATGTTTTGTGCATCTGGAGTATGTTTTATGGTTACCCTAGATCTCATTACTTGGCTTAATTTTATCTTGCAGCTGATGGACTTACTTTTTTCCTTTCTGGAACCAAATCGTCCTCATAGTGCGTTGCTGGCAGGCTATTTCAGCAAGGTACCCTCTCTTACAAAACATAAGTTTGCGTATTAGCCAACTCCGTTAGTTTCTTATTTATTTGTTATTACCCTTATATCGTATGGCTTCAATCATCTCATGGCTCGGAGATGTGCTTCCTTACTTGTCTCTTTTTGGTTTAGGTTGTCATTTGCCTTATGATCAGAAAGACTGCAGCACTTATGAATTATGTAAAAGTAAGTAATATCATATAGTAATACGGATGGTTGATCTTCTTCTTTTATTTTACCTTTTTGCATGAGCTTTACGATTAGATTTTTGTTTAGTTGTGGTACCTACAGTTCTCAATGTAATTTTTTATGGTCACAGGGGCATCAAAATGTTTTCTGCCAGTTGGTTGATTTGATTGGGATAACATCCATCATGGAGGTAATTGGTTTGTCTTAGACTCAGTGCAAGTTGATGTGATGTTAAAGGTCATTTTTGCTATAATACTTATGTGACATTGTCTAGGTTTTGGTTCGCTTGGTCGGGGCTGATGATCATGTCTATCCCAACTTTCTGGATGTGATGCAATGGTTGGCTGATAGCAATCTACTTGAAATGATCGTGGACAAACTTAAACCATCTGTAAGTGGTAAAGCTTTGCTATAATCATCCCAAAGACAAGAAGCTCGTGGCGTTCTGTTTTGATGCTTGTAGGGTGGTGTAAATATAGAATACCTAATCTTATATTCCTACTTTCTTTCATCATCGTCAATCTGATCTGATAACTATAGTTTCTTACAATCTTTTTAACTTGACTTAGAGTCTTCCGGAGGTTCAGGCAAATGCAGCAGAAACATTATGTGCAATTTCTCGGAATGCACCATCAGCTTTAGCTACACAACTCTCTAGCCCTGGGTTTGTAAACTTTTTTTTTCCATGATTGGTTTTTATTGCTTCAATAGAGTGATACAGAAGTATTTCACACGGCAGAACAACTTTGTCCCTGTTTTGGCAGCTTCGTTGCTAGGATATTTGGTCATGCTCTTGAAGACTCACACTCAAAATCGGGTCTAGTTCATTCGCTTTCAGTATGCACCGCTCTGTTGGATCCGAGGAAATCTGCTGCTTCATCATCTATGTTCAGTTCTTATAGAGGTCAACATATGTTCGAGTCTCCTACCCCAGTGTCCCAGGAGACTATTGGTGCCATGCTGCCTAAACTCAGTAAGTTGGATCATATGATATAAGATCTTCACATGACCCTCAATATGATTAGTTTTTTGCCCTTATTTTGGTTGGATGCACATAATCTAATTTTGCACATGGAAAATAGTAGGACATCAGCGTTTATTTGTTCAATGGCCTTTTTTTTCTGCAGGCGACTTGCTTATGCTTCTCTCTGTAGCATCTGACAGCACAGTATTGCCTACAACATATGGTGAACTGAGGCCTCCTCTTGGAAAACATCGTCTAAAGGTCAGATCCAAAAATTTAGCATTTCAGTGACGAATTATAGGTTCTTGGACAGCAACAGCTCTTTTAATATATGTAATTGGACCCAGTATCCTTTTTTTTTTCTTTTCAGATTGTGGAGTTCATTGCAGTTTTATTGAGAACTGGAAGTGAAGCTGCACAAAAAGAGTTAGTTTGTTCAGGAACAATTCAAAGAACCCTTGATCTGTTTTTCGAGTAAGCATGTGCTAAAATTCAAACCATTGATCTCGATGTTGCATTTTCTACGAGATCTTAAATAATCAGGAACTGTCAACATATGAAGGTACCCATTCAATAACGGGCTGCATCATCAAGTGGAGAGTATAATACTTTGTTGTTTGGAAAACAAGAGCGATTTGATGGTTAACCATATTCTTCGTGAATGTAATCTGATTGGCAAATTCCTCGCTTCAGACAGGGACTCGGATCTCTCTGGTGATAGCCAGGTATTACCCATTTGCTATGTTCACAAAGTTTTAACTGAGCATTGGTATATGACATAGTGTCATCCTAATGCGGCTCCAAGTTCGAGGTATCGACTCATTGGTCTAATGGTCGTTAGATAAACAAATATTCTCTGCCATTTTCTTTTTCTTTTGTGTGAGGTAGCCCACTGTAGCCGCCACTGGGAAAAAACCCCCTCGGGTCGGATATGTTGGACATATCACAAGAATATCAAATAAAATTGTTCAGTTGAGTAACAGCAATGGCCAGATTGAGGCGTACCTTCAGGTTGTTATTACAATCATGCAATCCCGTGCTGTGTAGTTTTTCTTCTTCCGCCTTTTTCTCACTTTACAGGCATAAGGATTTAAATTTTGTTCTGTCTTCTGATGAATGGTCCTCTCACCCTCAACGCACTTATCATGTTTGCTGACTTGGCTTTATTCGTTCTCTAATCTTTAGGAAAACAGTGAATGGAATGAGTGGCAAGGTAGTATTTTGCAGGAGCGCAACATTGTTGAGAATGTCTACAGATGGGGATGCGGGTATGTCCATTAACCTCTACTCACTAATCATATAGTAACCATCAAAAGGATCAGTCACTGCTACATCACTGATTATGGATGTAAATAATTGTGTGATCCCTGTCCATCTTGGATGAAACCCTTAGAGATGATTTCTTCATGATGATTGATGGTAAAGGCGTATATGCATTTGGTTTTTTTTTTGGACACGAATGTAAGGGTAACCGATCAATAGAATATCTCATGATTAGTAAGACCTGATAAGTTGCAGTTTTTGCTCTATAATACATGTCAGTCGTAGTCGAAGGTGATGCATCATGAGCTGTTCCTGGTGGTTTAGATTTTATTTTTCACTTCACTCTTGCTTATAATATTCCTAAACCCTTTGTACATGTAGGCGCCCAACTACAGTACAGGATAGGACAAGAGATAGCGATGAGGAAGATAGGGATTACGATGTTGCAGCCCTGGCCAATAATTTAAGCCAAGCATTTAGATACAAAATGTATGGAAATGATGACAATGAAGAGGTATAATCTCATCCTAGAGCTTTTTTCCTCGTGTATAAGCGATTTACCTGGTACTGAACTAATCATCTTTTTATGTTCTCTGGTCAGGACCACAATGCTCTGGATAGAGACGATGATGCAAGTCTTGCACACTTTCTCTTCCCACCTTTTTTTTTTTTTTAATAAAATCGAGGAAAATATGGTGCATCTATCACACTATGATACATGTGAGGATGTAAGCTGATGACTTTTTTTGTTGCTCTTGAAAATTGGCATGTGTACAGGAGGTTTACTTTGACGATGAATCTGCTGAAGTAGTAATTTCATCCTTAAGACTAGGGGATGACCAAGGAAGGTGAGTTTTTCTTTTATCTTCTGATACAGGTTTCCTCATGTCTTAACCCCAGGTATTGCATTTTTCTAAGAGAGCATTCTCTGGAAATAAATGACTTAAATATTTCCCATCACTTTGCTGCAGCTTATTTACAAATTCGAATTGGTTCACATTCCAAGACGACAGATTCGGCAGCACACCGACTGATACAGCAGGTTCCAATACGATAGAGGACGTGGAATTGAACAGAACCTTTAATGCCAATACTAGCAGCAGCGACGACGACGAGGTTGTGGTTGGAGAAGAAGACGATGATCTAACCAGAAATCCAAAAGACAACGCGATGAACACAACTGAAACCAACTTCCAGATGGAGAGTCCAATGGGGTTCTTCGACTTCAACACGTCGGAGAAAACCGAAGAAGCTTTTGCTGAACAGCCACCCGAATGGGTTGGGTGGGGCGAACCATCGTCTGATATGCAAGCAAGTGGCACCGGTCTGAACCCATTCATTGATGACGATGATGAGGACAACAAGACCATGATGAACCTCGACATAGCAATGCTTGAGGTTAAAGCCGAACCCGTGATTCCAAACGGGTCGTCCCCTACAGAAAGATCGCTATTCGAGAAGGACGTGGAGTTAGTGGGAGTGGAAGCAGAAGGCACAGAGAAAGCGATGGAGCAAGCGATGAAAGAAGGGATAGTTGGAGAAGCTGGAGCGATGAAGAGGAACATGGAGATAGTTGAGGACCAAAAGGCTGAGGAAAGTTCGGGAGTGAATGAGTTCAATGATAACAACTACTGGAAAGTGGATCAGAAAGTTAGAGTTTTGGAGTGAAAAGTTGTAGCCTCAAAAGTCAGTTATCATGTACAGTGTGATTTTGTATCAGAGAGGTATGTCAGAAAACTTGTTTCTAGTTTAAATTTGGTCAGAGAGAGTCTAATTGTCTCTGTGAAAAAAAAAAAAAAAAAAGCTATTGTTATTGTTTCTCTCATTTTTACATCGAACTTCACCTGACAAAGACTTTTTCAACTTCAAATTTCAAGCGCTTACTTTTAGCAAGCGAAAATGGACATATATTGGGCCGTAAGTGGCCAATTAATGACCCGTATGAGCTCCTTTAATGGATTATTTACAACCCATTTATGACCTATTAGTGTCATTTCAGTTCATTAATTGCCCGATTACGGCCCATTAGTGGCTCATATGTTGGCCTATCATCGGCCATTACTTGGCATAACATCGGCCCATTATTGGTCCGTGATCAGCCCATTATTTGGCCTATCTCCGGCCCATTATTGGCCCATTTTTAGCCCATTATTGTCCATCGTCGTTATTTGGCCCATTATAAGCTCATAATTGACCCATCGTCGGCCCATTATTTGGCCCGTCATCGGCCCATTATTGGCACGTCAACGGCCCATTATTTGGCCCATCATCGACCCATTATTCGGCCTATATTCGACCCATTATTGGCCCATCGTCGGCCCATTATTTGGCCCGTCATCAGCCCATTATTTGGGCCCATCATCAGTCCATTATTTGGCCCATCATCGTCCCAGGTAAGTCATCGGCCCATTATTTGGCCCATCGTTGGCGCATTATCGGTCGATTATTGGCCCATCGTCGGCCCATTATTTAGCAAATCATCGGCCCATTGTTTGCCCATCATCGGCCCATTATTTGGCCCATCATCGGCTCATTATTGACCCATCATAGGCCCATTATTTGGCCCATCATTGCCCATAATTGGCCCATTGTCGCCCATTATTAGTGACCTGTTAGTCTCCCCATTATTGGCCCATTAGCGGCTCATTGAAGATTCTATTTTGGTTAGTCCATTTGCGACTCATTAGTGATTGCTCATTAGTAACCCATTATTGACCCAAGAGTGACTCATTATTGACTTATTAGTGACCCATTAATGGCATATCAGCAATTAACGGCCCATCCTTACATAACGGTGAACGGGCTAAACAAAAAGTAAATATTGGCTTTAAGTCGTCTTCAAATGTCAGCCAAACATCAGCTTCTGCAAACACTGTTCGCAAAATGGGAGACCACATAAGACACATAATAAAACAACACTATGAAATAGACCTAACAACTAAACCCCTAAACTCTCTTCATCAGATTTTAAAACAGTCACTAACCCTACTTTTATACCATCTTCCTTCACTGAGTTCGCATTTCTGCGGATCATCACAGTTTCAGAGATCAAAACTGCACTTCCCTCTTGTCATTAAGCTCCATGCTGGTGTCAAACTGACCCTGGTCCGTCCTCCTCATCTCTATGATCTTCCTGTGTGAGTTTGAATGCACAGATGGGATGAAGGTGGGGCTTGAGGCTGGTCTGTATTCTGGAACTAGACGGCCAGATCTGAACCGGACCCCGCAAGCGTTGCAGAGGGTCTTTGGTCCATTGGGACCTTCCCTCCACTGCGGAGTCTTGGTTGTCTCACAATGAGTGCATTTCCGGACCATCCCGTCAGAGTTACTTGCCTCTGCAATGGAAGACACTGTGTGGCTGGTCGGGAGAATCTTGCGTTTCTTCTTGGCATGTCGCTCAAAAGAATAGCAAGTCTCAGATTCTGATTCGCCCGGAGTTAACTTTTCAGGCTTACTGGATTCAAATGGGTACAGGTATCTAAATCTCGGTGTTGTGGGGCGTTTGCGCTTGCTTCTCATGCCTTTCACAGTGAAAGTCAATCTCTGAGATCTGGAGTTCTGGGGCGAGAAAGAACCGTCGCTGCTCTCAAGAACTGACACTGGGCTTGAAGACTGAAATAGCTTTGACACTTTAATATCCGGAGGTGATGAAGATTGGTGGAGAGCGCTATTTATGCCGGATAAGGCTCCAGAAGAAGTGGACTGTTTCTGCACTCATAAAATAAGTATTAGACCTTATCCTCCTCAGTCTTGGTTGCACAGTTGCACTATATAATGATTCTTTTTCACACAATTTTCTGAACTAACTCAGTAAGAAAGAAACCAACGAACGTGATCCCAGGAATACAAATAATGTTATATCATACCACCAAGTCGTTATCAAATAACAAATCACAAATGCGTGTTCAGATTTGTCTGATCTATTTAATGGAGGCAAACATCTGTCGAGGCTTGAGCCCCAAAACTCTTTATCATTATACTATACAATAGCAAACAATTTTGCAAATGCGAAATTTGATTGTGTGAACATAAATCAAGTCATATTCATACATGAAGTATCAACGCATGATTATTTTTCACTAACCTAATGTGGCTAAAAGGTATCAAACTATCAACGAAAAAGGGCAATATGTTATACAGGGATGGTGATAATCTATCAAGTGAGATGCATATATGATGTTCTCATTTTTGTTTTCCAACTCTAATAGGGTAAGAAGAGCTAACAAAGGTATGAGCCTAAGAGAATAACTGTAACAAGTAATATTCATAAGCGTGCTTGAAAGCTAAGAACTCACCAAGATAGGTACGGTCTTCTGAGTCCCCACACGGCCACCATTGCTAATGGCACAGGAGGTTAACTCGGAGGGCAAACTCGGGAACATATTCATGGGAGGAGGCTCGAGGTCTTGAAATTTGGCATCCCAATCTCCCTCACCGTTGGTGGTATCGATGTCTTCTGGTAGGAAATCATCAAAGAAATCATCCAAGAAACCTTTCAAGTCCTCCTCAGGCAACCAATTCATTCTACCTACTGTTAGAAATGTAATCAGATATGTGAGCGTAAACCAACAATTATTATATGAGCCAAAGGCAGGATTGCAGAAACAGCTAAGATTCCAAGTTAAACGCCGATAAAATATCATCAATTATTTTGATCAAGCTCCATGCTAACTGCCTTGTCCGCTCAAAACTTCACCGTAGAATTTAATTCCGTGAGGTTTCACTCAATTACACCAAGACTAAGACTGATTCGTAGTCGTACTAAAGCAATTTCATAAACAACAAAAAAATAGCCAACAAAAACAATGTCGAGACAGAAGCTGCGATTTCCTCATACATACATACAATGGCGACATTCAAAGGTAGGGAAGATTGAAAACCTTCATTCATCACTTAGTTTTAACCAGAGAGAAGACGTATCCATCGCATTTTCTCACACAAAAGAAAGCAACAGAGATTGAAGAAAAATAACGAACCGAAGAGATAACGCCAACGAAAGACAGGAAATGCGACACAAACTCACAGAAAAAGTTCTTCACCTCAAGAGAAGAAACGTCGAGAGAGAAAGCGAGAGAGAGAGACGCACGAACCTTCCAGTATAATTGAACAACAGAGAGAAGAGAGTCGTACGAATCGAAACTAGGGATTTAGGGATTTGCAGGTTCAAATTTGGGAGAGAGAGAGAGAGAGAGAGGGAACGGGGGGGGGGAGAAAGGTGGATGGAGTTTTCAATGTCCCGTCGGTTTCTTCCTTTTGAAATTATAAAATAAAAATATAATGGAATAATGAAAAATGAAATTATGGAAACCGCTTTTCATCTCAACATTTCTTAACTTTAAAGAAAACCCGTAATCAATTTTTTTTTTTTCTGGGAGGAGACAAACAAAGAAAGAAAATAGTATCAACGCGTCTTTACTAAAACATTTAGAAACTCAATAAATACGATTTTATTGTTTGTTCTTAGAAATCAATAAATACATTAAACGAAGCCAAATTAATTCAATACGAACGTTGCACTAAAGAAAGAGCAATAAAGGAAATTAATACAACTTCCTGATACAGATTGCACATGTAACAAAAACCTCTTCTGAAAGATATTTACATCGATATGTTACGGATATTTGAATAACATATATTATATATAGGGAAAGTAAATGAAAATATCAGTCAAATATTGATTTGACTGGATGAGGAATATATGTCCATGTAAAAAGATAATCCGAAAATTAAAAAAAAAAACATTTTTTGGGTCAAACATAGAAAACAAATTACCAAATTGAATGTGGTAAATACGTAATAGTATGTTGACTTAAAAAATGGTAGTAATAGTAAAGTGAACTATAAGATATATTATAGAAGATGATTGCGTGGAATAGTTAGACGAAAAACAAAATAGCATAGCACATGCGAAATCAGGTGAACAAAACTTTGAAGAAGGATGGTTCGTAGATCCGATCTATTATTTTTTTATTTTTCTTAAAGGGATTATTAATGAAATTAATTCATTAAGCAAACAAATAAGTTGGAGCTTTGGAGGGATTATTAAAGAAAATTATAATTGTCAAAGTGAAATGGAGAGATCACCGACGATTACGAGACGAGAACCGAAATTTAATAATTATGGCGTTTCCTCATGGGAAAGTGGGTCCCTTGCCTAACTCTTTGCTTCCATCTTCCACATGATGTGTTCTTCATATCAATTATTTTTTAAATCATATCATACGAATAACTATATTAATCATATCATGATATTTAAGTAATATCTTGGTTTTTTTTGTTGCTCTACGTCTTATAAATCTTTCTCGCATATTGTAACTCTGCTTTGTGGAAAAAAGCAAATATCATATGGTGGTATATATTCTGCATTTCTACGCAGATCCATAATAAATTATCTCCTAAAAAAAATACTTTATACTCCCTCGTTTCACAAAGAGTGTCGTTCTGACACTTTTTTTATTTCAAAAAAATGTCATTTATGAATTCCAATGTAAATTTTAACATAAAATACCATTTTTAACCTTAAAAATAAATTCAGAAAATTAGTTATAAATATAATTTCAAAATTCATTTTCTGCAAATTAATAAAGATATAAAAGACTTTTTTATCTAATTTCTTAATTTGTGTGAAAAATTACAACACTCTTTGTGAAATAGAGGGAGTAGCAAACAGCAGTAATTTTGTCTATATTTTCTTTTAGCCTTTTAAACAGAAAAAAGATGGACTTACTCCTGAATTTCCCTTTTTCACCTGTAAGGCAACACCCAAAACTTTTTCTTTTCCACGAAAAGTCGAAAAGAAAAGAAGAGAATATTACAATTGGACCCAAAAGCTACTCCAAATTGCTGCTTTGGCCCAAAGAAAGTGTGCTGGATCAAATCTTAACCTTAGAGGTTCTTCTTCTTCTAGCGTTTAAAAATAGAAACAAGAGGAAGAGCAATAAAAGCATCAATGCCACTGATACGAACTTCCACAGCTTCTCATCATCCATTTCTCCAAAAACGCTCATTAACTCATTCTGCAGATCACCAATGCTTCTCTTAGACTGCACGCAGACACATAGTGAATAATGAGAAACTTTGAGTTCATGTCTTATTAGGAAAACAAATGGCGAAACATGAACACAAAGATTTAATCTTCGTATCAAGAAGAGGGACTTACAGTTGATTCCATTTTTTTGGACACTAATTCATGTTCTTTGGCAAAGATTTCTTTTGCATACTTGTAAAGCTCCACATCTAGATTGTTAAGCGATTTGATCTGCTGAATGACCTCGTTAGGAACTCTTGCGCGTGTCTGTAATATGCATTAACAAGAGATTAATAAATCAGACATTCTCTCATTTACTTTGCTGGTTTGAATCATGCACAAAAATATATTTACCCCTCGGGTAAAATTTGCTGGCGCAATTCTCTTCAAGGAGTTGACCCGTCTGGTTCCTTGAGACTTCCGTAGATGAGTAATGCAGCCTTCATAGACTTCCATGAGGCTTTTTACCGTCATCTGAAGCGTATTCAATAGACATATAAAATCACACCATTACACACGTTGATCATACCTAAACGCTAAAAGATTTTTTTTACTTACATTTCCACTCTTAGCTTCTATCTTATTCGATGCAACTTCAGATGTACCATTCTGAAATGTTACAGTCGTTTTCAGCACGAAAATTACAATTTACAGCCGAACAAAAAAAAACTATTACCTTCAGGAGCAGGATTTTACCTGAATTTCAATCTTATCTGAACCCGATCCTGAAACTGTAACACTTGCTTCTGGAGCATCAAAGAAATAAAGTTGAGAATTTTTGTGATTGCAAGTACAAGTTTGTTAACCCAACGTTAGATGTCGCATGAGAACCTTTATATGTAATAATGATGCGACAACGAAAGATGAAGAACACTAACAGGAAACAATACGAGGGGATACGATAATCCCTAATAACAGAAAACAATAATATTCTACTAAAATTGTGTAGACATCGACAGTGTCGAGAATAAGGGACATTCAAGGTTTAACTCTTGAATGGAAATATTTGTTCGAGTGTATACCCAAAGTTTCTTAGTTTTTGGTTTTTTTGAGAAATTAAAAATTAAATTATATTTGCTAGGTTATCCCCAGGCAGAACAGCAGTGATATAAAGAAAATTGAAAGGTGAGAAACTTATACCAACCTGAGTTAGTAGTTTTGGTTTTTGCAGTTGCGTTAGACGTAACAAATTGAGAAAGCACCTGAGAACCGACTACATTAGCAAAAAGTGATGCAGATTCCCTGTGCTCCTCTGTCAGTCCAACATACAACATGCTGTCCAATCTTCTCTGCAAGACAAGAAGGCTTAAGGATCTGCTGATTTCAAGAGAATAGTACCTAAATACAGTTTTAAGAACAAGTGTAACTACCTTGGCGACTTGGAGAATAGGCTCACCAAGGCTTTTGTACTTCTGCACACAATGCCGAACCTCATGTGCTTCTGATAAATGGGAGTTATTTGTCAATCCTGCAATCTGTGAAATGAAATGAAAATGCTCTGGAGATCTCTAATCAATTACTTGAAAAAGCAAAACAAATAACATGAAAAGTACCTGAAATGTCGCTCCATTATGGATTATATCATGAGCAGTAGGCGTATCGAGATATTTGTGCAGCGGCATAAGCATCTCCTCCATGTCATATGGGTTATCGTCCTCAATGATAACTACGCCCTTAACTTTTCGTGCATCTCGCTAAGAAAGGCCAAGCATGGGTAACGAGCTTCAGTCGATAAGTTTGTGTGCTCTTATCACGTATGAGCTTAAAAGCGGTATATGTATGCAACAAAAGAAGACAAAAGAGATTGATCGACATACCCGAGCAAACAGGTCTTCTCTCATCCATGGAACTAAGTATTTCCATGGCCATATGTCTAGCGTGCTTATTACATTGCCCTTGCGAATGCGGCCAGACATCCTTCTCGCAGAAGTTAAATTGGGATGCACCAAAAACCTAGCTGCTACCTCTACTGAAAATTCATAAGTGCTCAACACACGCGCAACAGGATCCCGGACTATTGTCATCACTGAAGTTCTCTCCCTCGGAAGCTTTGCCATCAAACTATAATCATCATGTGTGGCCAATAACTTACACTTTTCCTTCCTAAAAATTTACAGGGGAACAAATTATTTTGGATAACTGCTGTGCCAAAAGGAGGAAAATGTTGGAAAGGTTTAAAACTATCTACTGATCTCATGTCTGTCTAAGCTGTCTAAAAGTCAACTTATCAATCCATAGAGCGTAAAAACATTAGCCACAGAATCTTTTGGCATCAAATGAAAGACATGAAGTTAATGAAAGAAGAGAGGATACAGAACCAGAGGAAGATACCTTGGATCGAAATGGAGCTTGTCGTAAGATCGAGGACATTCCTCAGAGTTATCATACAATTTCCTCAAGAAGCTACAAGAGGACAACAAAGCATTAATCACGGCGATCAAAAGAAATCTTTTCAATACACTCGAAAACTTTTGGTAAGGGGAAATCACCAATGAAAATATGTCCTGCCACCAGTTCGGGGAACATGGAGAAAGAAGAGCAAATCCTGAAGAGAGCGTTTGTCTTTGTTGGGATGTTCTTCACGAGAAGAAGAAGTATCAGCCCACTTTTTCACAACTCTTTCGCAATGACCAGAATCAAGTTCCGCAAAGGAGGCAAGAACTGATATAATTCGCCAGTAGAAAAAAGCACATCAGACAAGTCCAGTTTCATCAAATACGATGCAATCAAATCTCCATAAACCATTCTACAAACCTGAGCCGAGAAGTATTAAGCCCAAAGCCAGCTTCGAAATAGGATTCATTTGCATTATGCCCCCGATTCCAAACCCTACTGATGATTAGCAAAACGAGGAAACGAATCAAAATATAGAAGGAACTTAAAAAAAAAACAAAAATCAACTGAAGAGAGAGGCGGGTGTTCAATTTGCGAAACAAACAAAACCCAGAAACTGAAAAAGACCATAACGATTGTGCGTTGTATATAACGAAACTGTAATGTTGGAGAAGGAGACAGAGAAAAACAGGCAAGAGGGGACCCAAAAAATCGAAGAATTGAATATGAAAGGAACAAAGGAACATGAAAGAGAAGAGAGGCCTACGTGTATGGGGAATCGAGATCTCGTGCTCATAAATTCCCTCGATCGCTGCTGGGGGCAAAGCTTGCTATCCACTAGGCCCTACGAAAAGCTCGAAAGAAGGGTATCTTTTTTTTTTCTCGCTTGTTTTACATCGATGGAGGAGGAAGAAGAAGAAGAAGAATGAAAAGGAGAGATTGTGTGCGCTCCCGAGAGAACAGGGTCACGAGATTTTCTCTTGGTTTCTCGCCACCCAGAAAAACTTTTAGGAAACACGCACTGAGGAGAGGACTAGTGTGAAAATTGATTAGGCAAACACGAATTTTTTTTTTCTTAATTGTTTCTCATACATTATTTGATATGGGAGTAAAATTGGTCCGAATCAACTGAGACCAATGCTTTTTTATGGGTATTTATGACACATCCTTGTTTTTCTTTTTCAATTCGACGAGGGTTTGACCGCTGTTTGCGATATTTTTTTTACAAAGATTGTGAAAACATATTATTTTCATATATCTAACTTTTGAAGAGAATTTGTCAAAAAATTAGCTACCTAAATCTTCCAAAATTTCACTTTTCACATTTTCAGTTTGCAACGATGAAACGATGCTTCATTCTTTGAACAACATTGCAATGTTATTGATTTGGGATTACATTTGTGTACTTCTCAATTTGAATAACATTGTTATTACTTTTCAACTTTTTTTGAACAGGAATTCCTTTTAAAATTATAACAGCAAATTCGATGTAATTCAGCTTTGAAGTGAAAGAGATAGAGAATTGATATACTATTAATTTCGACATTGAATGAATAAGGAGTATTAATTAAGTTCGATAAATTGAGGTAACATCCTATTCAATTAATAAAAACGCTAAAATCCGAGAGTAATAATAGTTCTACCAAAACCAGAAGACATAAGAAATGACCCAAACGATCACAAAGACAACTACTATTTACTTAAATTTTGTCGATGATTATCTGTTCCATTAGTTAGAAAGAAATTCTTTAGAAAAAAAAAAAAAACAGTCAACATAATAAACACGCCCTGCATGCATGTGACACTGGGACAGAAAGAAAAGCGGTTGGTAATTCTCATGAAGCAGATGACGTTAGCTTGATGAATGTGTTTTAGGGACGGGTTAATTACGCTTTTTTGGACCAAAATTAATTAATTAATTACGCTTATATCAGCAGGAAAATCGCCAGCCCAACATTCCGACCCTTAGGCTTGTCTATAAAAATGTTGTGGGTTCATATGTCTGACCCTGATGATGGATGCATGTCGTTTTCTTTCAGTTCTTGCCACCGTTTTAGTAGTTGTGTGATGAACTGATGATATGTTAATGTTTCTTTTGATCTATACTATAAAAATATATGTCATGTTGTCTCTTTTAGTCATATCTATTTTAATAATAGAGAAGATATAATTGTACACATAAGTGTTTAATTAAAATACCAAAAATTTCCTGTAGAGATTAAAAATTGCCTGACAGGTTATAAAGCAAACCAATTAATATATTAACTATTATGCTAGATTTATTTATAAATCAGTAATTATCGCCTTTGACCCAAAAGATTAGTAATTGTTGCCATTTGGAATTGGAATATCCCAAAACGATATGAAAAATAAAACATAAAACGATAGTTTGGGGAAAATATTTTTCTAGAAATAGATCGTAAAGCATATAAATTAATCAAAATCGCTTAATTGATAAAAAGAAATTTAACGCTGAACCTGTGCTAATTCCATGCATGGTTTCAACTATCAAAGAGGATTTGAGATATTAATAAAATTGGGCTTGGCGATTGAATGGGCCGAGAGCGAGTTACCTTTTGTATCTGCACTTCTCCTTTTCTCAAGATTATAAATATTAAAATCCCTAAAAAAAAGGCGCATAAGTTAAAACAAAAAGCTGCTGTCAGAAAAGATAAACAAAAAGTTACAGACCTCATGAGTCAAAGGTATGGATTATCTCCCCCTTCTTTAAATCTTCTTCGAAGTATCCTCACTGAGAAATGCTATCACTTCAACAAGTTTGGATTATCTAATTTGACGCACAAATTTGTCATTTAGATTAGATTTTTTCCATATAAAGCTTGAGGATATGCATTTGTTGTCATTGTTGACTCGCAGAGCACTATACGACACTTGCTTTCTCATATCGTGATTTGCTCCTAATAAATGGTAATCTCCAAACCGTTACGCGGAATAGTATTTTCTTTCTCGGAATTAACGCAGTAACGAAAGTCATATGAGTTTTTGCATATTTTGATTTATTCTTTTGAGATATCATCCATATCCTTTTATACATATATATTATATCAGAAATAGACGTCTATGATTATACAAAGACTAACAACTTTGCGATGAACTTTTACAACGGAGTTTTGATCACCGTTTACTGACGTTTTGACAGATTTGCTAGGTGATAATGGCCATGTTATGCATATGATAGAAGTAATTCAATTGCAGTTACATAAAAGATTTTGATGGAAATTAATTATCTGGCTAGCTACTAGCTAGTGAAAAGAAAATCTGTAGTGGCTGTTATGTATGACTACGCTTTTACTGTTTTGTCCAGGTAATATAACAATATGGACTATGAATATCAATGTGAAGTTTTGGAAAGCTCCATTGAAGGAACAACTTCTCTTGTGGAACCCATGACTCCTATCTGTAATGGAGACAGTGGAATCATTGCATTGTCTCCACTCTGTGATCACTACAATGATCAGATGCGGATTGATTCTCTGAGTCCTTGTTCAGATGAAGAAATCTTCGAGTCTTTGTATCAGAACCTCTTTAGTATTGTTCTCTGTCTTCAAATAGAGGAGTCTGGTAATGGTTCTCACACACCTCTGTCTGATCATTGCCCTGGAGCTCCAATGAAGCTTACCAGGTTATCGAGAAGCATTGATCCAGGATTCCAAAGAAAACTCTTCTGAGGTTGCTTCTTAATTTGATTTATATCTAACATTGGAGTTAGCTTTAGTCTTGTTATGTGGTAGTTGTGTTCGAACAAAGAAAAAAAAAAACTGTGTTCTAATTGTGTTCATGTGTATGGTGTAAGTTGGATTGTTATCAATGGTGGAAATGTCTTCTTAAGATATTGCATCTAATCAAGAAAAATATCATATCACTAGAGTTGTAAAGATCAGGGATAAGAACAGATATTATTACAAAAGATAAACAACGCAGATATATCTGAGAGGTTTTAAACTAAGGAGGGAACTACAGATATCTCTCTCTTCACACTCATTTGGTCATGGAAACGAAAAAAAGCTTCATTTACAGAGACAAAGCACGAAGATGATTTGATGATGACCTCGGTTATTCTTTTTGCTTGTGTTGTTCCATATACTTTTTATCAGCTTCTGCCACACGGTTCTGGAACATCGTCCATTCGTTTCTGCATCTCTCTCTCACCTGAAACCGGGAAAAACACACGCACACACACACAGTGAGTTTTTCCAGATGATAGAGAAGGTTTTTATGAGTCAGTATAATAATGTGTGGTTTATTACCCCTTGCCATGGAGATTTTCCCTGCTCCGACTCACCCTGTCAAATTACAGTTATGAGTCAATAGATCATTCGGATAAAGAGCAAAAACTCTTCGTTTCTCAGTGATAATACAAAAAAAAAAGGAACATCACCTGACTTCCCAAAGAAGGAATCACTTGATGGATGATCCATTGTGAATCTACTACACCAATCTTCTCGTGAGCAGGCTGCACAATGAAAGAGAATTCATACATATGGATATATAACAAGGAGTGTCCATGACATAAAACAATGCTTCAAAAGGACTTTACCGAGGAAACAGAGGGCAATGACTAACCTCAACACATCGTCTCAGAGCAAAATCAAGACCCCATCCATGAACAAGATCATTCTGCACCATAAACAAGATTTGTTTTAAAGCACCAACTGATGGTTTGGAAGACTATCAATGTGACATCTTTTAGTCATCTGAATACTTGCCTACAGACTGTAAATATAAGGGCAAAATGCTGCTCAAAGGTCTTTTATATAAAAAATACCTGAATCATATGCCATACACATCGCCATGCTTCTCTCGAAAATACAGGTGCCATAATCTCAACAAACCTGCAGGTAGGGGAATTAACCAGTTACCCGAAAATGATATACGCATTCTCCAGTAGGCTAGGCAAAGAGAGAGAAACAGTGCACAGAGTCTTACGCAGCACATGGAGGTAAATGTGGATCACTACACCATCCAGGTTTTTCTTGAGTTTCTCTGTTCACCACTCAAAAAACTTAGGGACAGGTTGAATTCAAAGAAAGTAAAAGAGAGAAAGAGAGAGATAAAGAGCGCTCCTACTTGTGGACATCTCGGTCACCTCTCCTCTTTGTCATTTCCCATGTAAGTCCGTTGTTTGGCTCTAACCCTGGTTGAGAAATCTCCAAACCATGCTTCTTAACTAACTCAATATACCTGCAAAATAACAATACAAAATTTAAAGATAATCATCATCTACAACTACGATTCCGGACAAGTAGTTAACCTTTCTGCATTGAAGTGCTCGACTCCAAGATCTTCATCCCATATAAATATATACTCATAAGCTGAGACAATATCAGGATGCAAAAATCTCTTTGCATACCACCTGACAAAAGATGAACAGAGACAAGCTGAGGATTTTTATCAAACAAATTTTCACCACTGTTCGAAGAATGGAGTATATTGTGCTGACCTCCCTCAGATTTCTTACCATTTTGTTTGCTTTCTTGCACTGATATGTATTGCGTTTTTTGACCACTCAAACTGATCCCACTCAGTCGTCCGACCATCATAGTGAAATAGCAAAATTTGGAAATCTTCAGAAAACTGAAGCAATGATGATGAAACCACAAGCCTTAGTGTTAATAGTATCCAAACAAAGAACCGTATAATACTCAAAAAAAAAAAAAAATGAAGGGGGGAATTAAGCAATTGCAAAACCTTCTTAACAGCTGCATTAATATTGTTCTTCTGCTCAAACCCAACTGTAAAAGTCACTAGATATTTTGGTTTCTTCTTCAAATCCTGCAGAGGTTATGCTTCCATTATAAATCTCCAAGCACTATACTGATAGACTATGCCAATCGTATATGTTTCCATCAAACTTGATACATCGGTAAGATTGTAGAACTTACTTCACTGGGTTCACCCCATAATCTGCGCAAGTAAAAATCTGTTTCTGCCACAATAATTCCTGGAGGGAGTAGTTCTGCACCATGCGGGTTGGTTGGAACATATATCTGGGAACATAGAAACAGAGATGATACACTTGATTAGCATAAAAAACAAAAGTAGTATACTACAACGTGAATTTCTGTTTTCTTTCTCTCCAGTATAGACTATGGAGTTAGCATTGAAATTACAGAGAAGCTTCAGGAAATATATACCTTAGGAGACTCTCTTGAACCAAAATCTTCAGGCGATCTGCCACCAGAAAATAATTTCCTATCTGACATGGCTACATCAAGAGATGATATAAGGCCTGAGGGTAAGTTAATCTGCATGATACAAAAATAGATCAACCTCAGTGAAAAAAAAAGACATAAAAAAAGAAAGACAAACCTATGAACCCCCACCTCAACTGTACCTTAATAAAAGAAACTGATGGTAATGTGATACCGATAAAAAAACCAAACACCATTCCCACGATTGTCGTTATGATCAGCTTTGCATTTTCATTTGTCCTTCTGGGAGCACCGCTGCAAAATATTTAACAATAAGTAATTTTTATTTTCAAACTGAAAGCAATTCAGAACTCGTTTGTTGTTAAATCAAACCGGAAGGAAATGTACCTCCGGTGCATCGTCCCCATCGGATTGCAAAAATCTTCAAATCCACAGCGAATACTAAAAATCGAATCCTTTAATAAAAGACTTGAAGAACACAAGAGTTGTAACGAAATGTTCTTTCATTCAATCAAATAACCATGCTGAAAAGTAGAAACCAGAAATAGAGACGAAAGAAATCAGGAATTTATAACAATTTTCATTGACCTAACTGATGTACGAAAGCTTAACCGTCCAGTATCTTAAAATTGAATTGCTCATACGGTGTATGACGAATTCCTAGCAAACAACACAGATGATAACTCAGAGCATACAAGCTGAACAAAATGTACAGTGATTTGAAAATAGTTGAAACCGACAACTATAATTGCAGCAGAATAGAAAACATGTAGTCGACACGTATGATCCTACTACAGATTCAAATTACTTTAAACAAGGTTAGATCAAAATCTAAACAACCATACATAAGACATAAAGACAATATCAAAATCCGGCACCAGAGAGATTAATCCCAAAGTAATAGTCGCGAAACAAAGGACCAAAAATAAAATTGAAAAAAAAAACTAAAGGAAAATGCGACGGTACTTACGGAGTTTTGACAGAACCCAACCTGTAGATTAGGGTTCTGAGCCGCTTCTCTGATCTCGAGATTCAGTTAGTGAAGCACTGAGGAGAACTCAGGAGAAAACGAGCCGATTGTTTGTTTGTTTTTTTTTTTTCTGATGTTTGTTTTTTTTTTCTAATGTAAATTTAACCAAAAATATTTTTGCAAGACCCACGCCATTTTAATTTTGTGAAAAGCTTACCTAAATCAGTGCATACGTGGCTTCCTTTCTTGATTTTTGCATTTTTGGTGTTTAATTGGGTCCCGTTTTAGTGGTATTTGAATTTCGTTAGGGGGTCAATCAGATCTAAACTATATAATCCCCAACTATATTTTTGTTTTTTTCGACAACAAACTATAATCTAACTAAATTTTCTTGTAACTATCGGTTCTTTTTGGTCGAAAGTAATTATTAATTTTTTCTTTTTCGTCGCAAGTAATTATCGTTTTGTATGCTGGGAAAATAGTTTATATTTTGCTTTAGAGAATCATTCCATTTTAAAAAAAATATTATCCAAGGTCCCAACAAAAAGATGGTTGTACATGTTCCATTATACGAGTCGAGACCACAATAAAACCTAAAAAGATATTAAAAAGTTCAGCAATAAATCATAAACGGAAAACCAGCAGTTTAAAAGAAAAGCAGTGAAACCATGTTCCTGAATCAGACAAACCAACTCAATTTCTCTCTTCACACTAACCAAACCATATAAAGCAAGCAAATAAGCAATCATCGAAACCCATTTTATTAGTCTTTCTGTTATATTCAGGTTCCGTCTCCACGAGCAGGGGACGGGTTAGAGCTTTTAGGCCCCAGTTGCTGAGACCGACTTACCATACGAGCCATTGAAGAGGTCTGATAAGCCTGGGGCATGCTACATCCCGCTGCTACCGGACCACGAGCCGTTGCCCTTTGAGCTGAATGCGAACTCATGCTCGAGAAGGCGTAAGCTCGACCTGATCTCTGGTACGTCCTCCTGCTCGCCATTCTTTCTTGCAACCCACTCAGCTCGGAGGATAGTGATTGACAAAGCCTATCACTGGACCGAGCAGACACAGTTTCCGACAATTCTCTCTCACGGTTTCCGAGAAGCTCAATTGCTGCACTGAGCTCACCTCCGTCGGCTAAAACCCTAGCCTCTGAAATAGCTTGTGAAATACGGAACCTGTTTAGTTGCCTGTCAACTTCTATGGACACCACTTCTTCTCCCGTAAGCTCGTTTGGCCTTTGAATGCTTAGCTCTCCTGATTCCACACGGACTATCTCTCTTCTAACAGGATCTTTGTAGACGCATCGGACCTTCAACAACGACATGGATTCAGATTCAGCAGACCCGTTCTCCCAGCACGGAATTTCAAGAATCACGAGGAAGTCCCTTTCTTCTTCTGCGTACATGTCCCCGACATCGATTGTCGCGGTTCTTGCATCAGATGATATCCGATTTCTGTAGCTTCCTGCTTTTATGGAGGAAATTTTCAGGCCCTGCTCATGAATGCATTCGATTTCAACAACTTGTTCAAGAATCACAACGCTGAGAAGCCCTCCAATGCATTGTGCAAAAGCATCCTGAATCACAGTCTCTGTTTCGATGAATGAGAAGGTGCCACTAGAGACTTGTGAAATTGTGTGCATTAGCTCAGCATCGTGATCTGAGCCAAACCCGAAGGTATGTATTGGAATCCGGCTAGAGCTAGGAAGCAAAGACTCGTAATCTGTTCGTAGACGGAGCCCAGAATGAGCAAGAATGAAGTTGTCCTGCCCATCTGACAAAAGCATCATCCCTGAAACAGGGTTCTTCCATCGCCTACCTTCAATCACTCTAGCACCAATCCTTAGCCCCTCTGCAATGTTAGTCCCACCTCCAGCGACCAAGGAGTTAACAGCCTGGATAGCCAATTGCTTGCCCGTCTCAGACATCAGTCTAAGAGGGAATAGCCGGCGAGCCGTGGAGGAGAAGGCAATCACAGAGAGCCTATCTTTCTCACCAAGATTCTGAATCACAAAACCCATGGCGTTTTTCATAAGCTCCATTTTCATGCCTTCCATGCTACCACTCACATCAAGAACCGTAATGAGATCCAAAGGAGCACGAGTGGGCCTATCATCACTCACACCCTCCGCCTTGAGATGAACCAGAACAGCAAAATCACCACGAGTGACCGATTTCTTGACTGCAGAGACTTGTGGGAGCAGTTTGATCTCGAGGGCTTGATGAGGATGAGATGTTCCTGAAGAACCATCATCACTCTGGATTAGGGTCGTCTCTCCGTGAGGTAAAAACTCATCATCTTCAAAACCCACTTGAGCCGGAAAAGTAGGGACAGGATCATCAACACACAAAGGGACTTGTTTCCAGTGAGTTCTACATATAGGGCAAATTCGGTTTCCGTGTTTCACGTTGGAGGTTATACAATCGAAATGGAAGGAGTGGGTGCACTCTGCAGTAAATATCGCCTTTCCGTCTTTCTCTCTAATCTCATCCAAGCAAATCGCGCATCGACTCTGCAAATTTTAAACGAAACCAGTCTCTATCACACAACCTTTAACAAAAACAAGACCACCGATTATATCTTTAACCCTAACGCTAATTGGGGCGATCGATGGAAAACAACTAGCAAAACACTAAAATTACATCAAATTTGTTATTTTTGCAACACCCACATAAGAAGATTATTCGGATCATACAGATACAGAGTAGGGGGTGAAAGATAGAACCTTAGAAGAAGCGAGGCCTTGAGAGGAAGAAGTAGACCGAGGGCGAGGGGAAGAAGAATCGGGTTGGGTCGCGTCAACGGATGATCTTGTGGCATCGGTGGAAGAAGCAGATGAAGGGTCTAGGGTTTTGAGACCTTCGTTCGACTCCAAATCCGATTTTGCTTCTCGCCAGATGTTTGGGTTCACCATTATTCGGGGTAAAGAGTAGGAAAAAAAGAAAACCAATGGGAATTTGGATGGAGAAGAAGGATAAAGTTGATCACGATATATCAGACTACAAGAAAGAAAAAGAAGAAGAAGAAGAAGCGGTTTTAAGAAGAAAAAGCGAATTGTTCAATTCATATAGTTGTATACGTCAATGGTCTATTTATGTATTACTAATATTTTTTAACTACGTTTCCTTTTATGCAGATATTTTCTTTCTTTTTGATTTTTTTTCTGTTTTTAACTTCTTTTTCTCTTTTCCGACTTTTAGTTTACCTTTTTCTATTGGAGAAGGCTTGGATGAGATGGATGAACCCTTTTTTAAAAATAATTAACTATATTTTTATCTGCTTCGTCTGTCGAAAATATATTTTTTATGACTTTATTATTAAAAATAAATATTTATAAACATAAATAAATATCTAACCGAATTTAAACAATTTGGTTTGATGTTTTTAACTCAAATCTCTAAAATCTAGTATGATTTAATATTTTTCTAAGATTTTGTATTTTCTGATTATTACTGTTTTTCTATTGCTGGTGTTTGATATTATATTCCACGTCCGCGAATCCCCTATTATTTATCAATTAACCAAAAGAAAAAGTTGACTAGTTTTTCAGAAATAGAATTCTAAGCCTTGTAACCAAATATTTTCTGCCTACAAAGTTAATCATTAATCTCATTTGTGTTGTGATCCAGCATTGTAATACATGACAGTAGAACTTCACATTTCAAGATGACCATAACGGTCACTGACTCACTGGATATGTTACTCCAAAAGTCGCATCCAAAACATACTCGATCAATATTTATAGGTGAACCTACTTTTATACACATGATTAGATTATACTACTCTAAATCAGTTAATATACGCTAACCATCAGATTAGATTACTCGTCGTCTGAGAGACAGACCAAATCAGTGCTGCTCTGCAACCCACTGCCCAAGTTATGTTGTTGTTCTTGCTGCTGCTGCTGATTTAACGTAGTTGAATATGTTAAAGCATGAGGAAGCGGCGACAAGGTTGGAGTAGCTGTGGGGATGGGAATCGAAGAGGATGGTCTATATGAGTTTACATGCAGTGCGGGAGAACGTAGTCTTGCATTGATAGCTGGATTAGTTGCCGGAGAAACTGATGAAGATGGAGTTGTGTTGGAGATGAGGGGATGTCTTAGCTGAGGCATTGGACAGTTCGCGGAATTCAGAATAAGGCCTGACGGGCGAGAAACTGAAGAAGGAAAAGAAGATGCCTGAGGCAAAGCCGGAGCCGGGGCAGTATAATTCCTCAGTGCGCTCACTTGTGCTGCTCTCTGTGCTAGCTGCTGAATTCTACCTGCAGAAAAAAAAGTGTTATTATGACTTTCTTGACCTTACATCTAGAACCGATATCATGCTCTATTATTCAGACGCTTACCCCTTGGAGCTGCTGAGGGATGAGATGCGCTCCTGCTATTACATTTGGACAAGAACGCACTCGCCAACAGTTTGTTCATTATAACAAGATTCTTCCTCGTCTCTATATTCCTCGTTCTAGCGGTATGCTCGGCTTCTACCTCATGAAACTTTCTTTGATACTCTGCTTGTACTTCAGCCATCTTCCTCTCGAGTTCAGCTTTCAAGATTGATTTCTGCTCACAAGCAATTAAGAGTCAATTAACAGCGCGAAAAAAGAAACCAAAACTAGAGGTAACTGGGTATTGAGGACAGCTAACATTTTCCTCATAGGCCTTCTTTGAATTTTCTGATTCTCTCCGCAGCTTCTCCAGCTCATGCTGAAATGGGTCACTGAACATAGGGAAAGGTATTTGAGGAACAGGTTGAACGGCCCTTTGTCCAGTACCATTGTTAAGAAGTGCTGGAACAGGAGCTGTTACACCTGCCGAAGGCTCCACGCCACCTTCATGGACAAGCTGCATAATGTTATCTGTGCAAACGGCATATCAGACTGTCAGCTGTTTGGCAAACGCCTACGTTATACTTGAATGCACAAGGGCAGTTACTGACTTGCAAAGGTTGACTGTTCTACTTGGGGACAAGGTTCTGCTATTTCCATTTCACATGCATCTGATCCAGTTGTGTGAGGCTCAGCCACTGTTGTGTTATTTAGTCCCTCAATATTAACGACTGCATCAGGGTGGTTACCAGGCGGCAGAGGAGATGCATCCTGAGCACCCTGTCCAGAAAAATCAGAGTCACAAGCAAAAAACAACATCTGATCACTACCCACTCTCTGCTCTGTTTCTTACAGTAAATTGATAACGAACATTTGAAAGGACGAGAACCCTTAACCAACAAAACTGAAAGTCTTTAATCAGAGGCAGGTACCTGATCTGATACAGCACAACTACTAGTTTCTACTGCATCTGATCCAGCTGTGTGAAGCTGAGCCATTGTTGTAATATTTTGGCCCTCAGTGTTTGCTGCTATGTCAGCCTGAGTTCCAACCAAGGGAGATGGCATAGACCATGCATCCTGAGCACCTATTCTTTCCTGCAGGAAATCCAAAACGAGCATTATAAAGTTGTAAGACTTAGTAACAACAACAGAGAAAGTAATTAGTTGAGGTGATAAGTACCTGATCTGATAATGCGGAATCACCAATCTCTACTGAACCAGTACCAGCTATGTGGGGCTCGGCTGGTGTGTTGATATTTTGGCCCTCAATGTTTGCGCTTGAGATATGCTGATTTCCAGCCGGAGAAGATAGCAAAGGACATGAACCTTGATCACCCTGTCCAAAGAGTCAAATTAAAACAAAAAAAAGACCTGATCAGTAACCAAACTTCCCTGCTCATTTCTCCACATGGGCAAATCAGAATGAACATTACACAGATTGAAAACATTAAACCAGCATAATAAAGTCTTCAATAGGAACCTGCTCTAGTGCAGCAAAACCACCAGACAATACTGTATCTGATCCAGCTGGCTGAGGGTCAATTGTTGCTTCAATATTTTTGCCCTGAATATTTGCTGCTGGGCCAGGTTGCTTTCCAGTCGGTGAAGACGGCATAGGAGATCCAGCTGACTGAGGCTCAATTGCTGCTTCAATATTTTGGCCTTGAATGTTTGCTGCTGGGCCAGGTTGCTTTCCAGCCGGTGAAGAAGGCATAGGAGATCTACCTAGCTGAGGCTCAATTGCAGCTTCCTTATTTTGGCCCTGAATGTTTGCTGCTAGGTCAGGATGCCTTCGAACCGGTGAAGAAGGCATAGGAGATTCACCTGGCTGAGGCTCAACCGGTGCTTCCATATTCTGGCCCTGAATTTTTGCTGATGGGTCAGACTGCTTTCCAGCCAGTGAAGAAGGCATAGGACATATATCCTGTCCAGAATGAGCATTATAAAAATTAAAAACAAATGATCGAGTATTTTACAGGGCCAGTAAGTACCTGATCAGATTCATCAGAACCCCTAGTCTCTACCACAGACGCAGGGGGTGGAATAGGCAATCCCAGCTCGTCAGGAATCTCCTTATCAAGAGAACAAGCTTCCTCATTCTGCTGGTCCAAAACGTTTTCATCATCAGAGCCCGCATGACTTGTTATATTATGTTCTATTGAAACCAAAGCCTCCTCTCTATCCAAAGAAATCTCGAGAGAGACAGACTTTGCAGGATTTGCAAATGACTGGGATATATCTGGCAACCTTGAGGGAACATCTTCATCTGGTGTCGCTGATATCATTCTGTCACAAATCTGGTATTCTGGCAACTGCACGTTCAAGGCCTCAAATTCCTCTTGACAGCCAGCAGAAATCAAATTCTCAGGCGCAGTGATAGAAGCGTGCTCATTGGGCTGGCTCATTGTAGCCAGATTGTTTGTAGGCTGTTCATGAGACAAGCTTGAGACATCCATCGCCTTGCCATTGCTTGAAGCGACCATTTCATCAACTTGTTGAGTGCTGCCACCCGACATGGTTCTTGATGTATTTTCTGCTTCTGGCACTTGGTTTCCCTTGGAAGCCATGCAATTCGTATCAGAGTAAGTAGCTTCACCACTGGCATCATTGCAAGTTTGTACATCACGAGCGTTTTTGGAAGTGTTTGATGAGCATATTCCACTAAAATGCTTGTTGCCACTTTGAATGGGAGCACAATTTATTAACTCAGCTTGTGCCCAGTTCTCTATCCGCCTAACCCAACAGGCTTCATCCTCAGCCAACTTCTTCTTTGCAGCCTCGTGCATTTGCTCTAGACTTTCAAGGCATCCATCCATCTCACTTTTGAGTTCATCAAACTTTATATCAAACTCATAACCCAGCCGTTTGAGAGCGTCCTCTAAGCTCTGAGTCCCTGAATAGGTAATACGAATATATGATGCTTCAACCTTTTTATCACCTTCAAGTTTCTGCTTCTTGACTGCATTCATATTCACCAGCTCCACCTTTTTTTCTTCATGAATTTTTACAAGCTTTTGCAGTTTCTTATTGCATTTTTTTTTGATGTAGCTAATAGCCTTTTCGATATCTTTTGCTACTGAGATATAATGGCTATCTCTCTTCTCAGTCATGCATTCTTCACCGTCTGAGCTACGCATCGATTTTGTATAATTTTTTTCCTGACGCACTGTAGCTACTGAGAGACATTGATTCACTTGTTTCGTACTAACCATTGGTTGTTTAGAATTAGTACCAAAGCAATCCAATTGCAAACCTCGTGTGCGCTCCAGGAACAGACTCTTCATGCAGCACAAAAACGGATATATATAATCGACCTCTTCTCTAGAGCAATTGAAAGCTAATTCCGATTTTGCGCGGACCAGAGATTCTTCGCGGTTAACCTTTTCCTTTACGAACGAGGCTGCAATCCAACTCTGAAAGTGCATTATTAAGAATGTATTCAGTATGTGAACTATTCATATATTATGCAGCAAGCAAAGGGCTTACTCTGTGGCCTAAAAAGCATGGGTTTTATTAGACATTAGTAGCAAGCATAACTCGAGCAATCAATGGAAATTTTTATCCTACAAGTGGGAAAAACTTGTAATCCATTCCCACAAAGGCAGTGATGCCACAGAAATACACAAAAATTGGCAGTTAATGAAGGAAACAATGCATAAACTACTGAAGTGATTGCAGTCATACCAATGCTATCTGGAAGGCCTGCAATGTGGTGGCTGGCTCATCGTAGATACGGTGGTGTTCAATAACATATTCAAGAAATTTTTCAACCATGCTTGTCGAATCTTCCTGAAAAAAGAAATGATATGTCAACCAATTCCATAAACCTTTTAGTGTAACTTTGATAGACGATGAACAATTCACAGAAGTATTCAGAATGGACGCGGCAGTGGAAACATCTATTAACCAATATATGAAGATATAAGACTCCCTAAAAGAGTAGGCACTGCATACACAAAACTAATAGCATCATTCAGTAAATCAGTTTCTATACCAACAGCAACATATAAACTTTTGACATACAATACCCAGGGCTGTAACACGTCTTTCATTCGCCAGGTACAGAGGCCTAAGGTTAAATATTTCCCATGAATATATCATGCAAAAGGAGACAAAGTCTTTCTTTGCTTCAGAAACCAATGAAGGACATGAGGCACACAACTAACTAGTGTTTTGTGCAGCAGTTTCTCCATTTTTAACGCCAGATATGAGAAAATAAAATTGGCTTTGACGGAAACAATATACTAGTTGAACATTAAAAATCTCCTTTTGGCTGTAACATGAAATGAGGTAACAATTCCAAATACAATCTGCATACGCAAAAGCTAAAATAAGTTGCGGAGGTGAAAAATGCCACTTACTGAAAGATGCAACACTTGGCAAAGTTTTGCCATCTCCGGCTTTATAACATCATGGAGACTCTTCTGTGATTCGTGCGTAATTTGTCTCCAATTAATGCCAGCAAACATATCTTCTGGGATTCCAGAGATATGACCCCCCATAGAATACAACCCAATACCATCATTTCCATTCAATGTATCATTAGTACCAGAGGCAGATCTACATGATGACTCGAGTATTGTGACTTTTGGTGACTCCAAAGCCTCTGTAGGAAAGATGGTCAGCAAAGTAATTGCAAAATTCAATGAACTTTAGAGGTACAGGAGCAAGAAGTGACTATATTACCCATGTGCTCCTTCCCAGAGGCTTTTCTTTGATCGTTATCTACTATGACATCGTCCGAAGCCTTCATTCTCTTCTTTATATTTCTGTCATTGCCAATTTTGGCAGTCTCTTCAGATCCTTGAAGATACCGTACTCTTTTTCGATTCCTTTGAGGAGTATCGGAACAGTATTTCCACATAGGCTTCTTTTCCCCCAACAGCTTTGTCCAAAATATATTTGGACTATCTTCATTAGACAACTTGATATGATCTTCACCAAATAGAGTAGAATCAGTGCGGTAAGTTCCCTGAGCATGCTTGGCTTCCAAAAGTAGACACAGCTTGACTTCATTTTCTTCTCCAATATTAGAAGAAAGTATGGACGAGACTTCATGAATCACGCCGTCCATAATAGATTGTTCAAATGGAACTCCAGAATCTCGGGTTTCACTGCCATGAAAGTGATCCAGCTTATCAAATAGATATGAAGCCCCCCACATGAGCAGTGCATGTGTGAGAGGACGGTTTAGGTTCTCTAGAGGCTTATTTCGTCTAGCCAAAACCAGGGTTTTTTCTTCAACTGTACATACTGAGTACAACCGGAATATTTTAGTTCTTTCAGAATGTGACTCAATCTTTATCTTCTCTAAGAGCTTAACATCATGCGATGGATTCAAGCTGCTTCGAAAAAGAATAAAAGCATCAGCCCGTAAGAGTTTAATGCTTTGACTGCAGGCACGTGTTTCCAACAGCAGAATAAAACATTGACTCTCCTTGTTGAAAATGTTTATAGCGTTCTTCTTTGAGAGACAGACCCAGTGCTCATAAGAATTTTGACCAAATCTTCGACTCACAAAATCTTCGAGAATATTAGCAAGCAAAAGCCCCTCAGGGCTTTTTGTTGCCTGTTGACAAAAAAAAAAAGTAATTCAAAAATACAGAAGGCATAAATATCGACAAAGAAAGGACGAAGAGAAGAAACATTTCAGTTCCGCACATCTCATCATGCCAGCTGATTACTGAAGGCTACTTGACAATTCATGATCACATGTTCAAAAAGATACTTCGTCCCACTCAGATTTCAACACAAGAAAGAATTCCAATATCAAAAGTATATGCCAGTCTATATATATTAAAAATGCAGTATGTGACGTATTTATGATAAACAGGGAAATCCTCATTCATAAGTACGGAAAATGCACCTGGTAGCAGACAACTGCTTTTAAACCGTTTCTTTTTATCTGAGTAAGCATCGCATCAAGTAGGTGAAGTTTTCCGCTTGCTTTGACTTCTACATCCTGGAATTCATGCAACTCCCGATTCTTGGCGAGCAGTGGTATCAAAGATGAATCTATAACATATGGGTGGTCACAGGTCTGTCAACAAAATTGCAACACGCAAAGAAGGTCTTTAATATCTCCACACATTAAAATGCAGAATGAGGCTTTGAGAAAACGTGATGCTGATGGACAGTAGTCAGATATCTAAGCAGTCCTAAACTGTCTTATTTGCACTTCAAGTTCTAATAAGTGTTTCGGAAAAGCATAAAACAAATAGACCAAAACCTTTCCGTAACAAACATTAAAATCGAAAGGCATAACACCTATGTGAAAACCTCTTAGGAGCACGGAACACATACTACTTTTTTTCTGCAGTAATGCAATGACCACCTTATCTGTTTATATATTGCTTTCTTCTATCTTATTGCCATTCCTAACTGGGATTTTAAGGCATAAGAGCATTGAAGAATAAAATTTGTTATCAAATAAACTTACTTTCCTTACAGAAGAGAGAGTTTCTTCGAGAGCTCCAACAAGATCACTCTTCGACAGCGAAGAAAGAGATAAAGATTTGGAGAATAGAGTCCGACAGTATTGCTCCAGCTGTACATCTGATAGCTGCACTGGAACCCAATACTCTGGGTACATCGATGACATTTTGGGATCATATGATTTATCTTGTTGCATATTTTGCCTGTTCTCCCTATAGTCTCTGCGTGTCGCGGGTCCAGATTCCTTCATATCCAAATGCAAAGCAGAACAGAAATTTGCAATTTACAAGTAAAAGGTAACTGGATAAGTAAATTTAACTATAAAAAAAACCACTGTTTAACGGGTGTCCAAAGTAAAGCAATCAGAAACCAACCTGTGCCACGTGATCAGATTCTTGAACTGGCTGGGCAATACAGGAGCAAACATTCAGATTTTCAGAATCATCGTTGACCCTTCAGAAATTTTGTACAACTAAAATTACAACCCAGAACATATATTATTAAAATAAATAACCTAAAATCAAATTTATCTGTTCATTATTCATCTCTAGAAAGCAATTGCCAGATCGTTTCAAAAGACAGACAACAGTCAAGAATTCTTACTTTTGCCGTTTATCACATGTGCTGCACCTTTCAGGTTGATTATTATTTTTGCACCCTGATGGAGATAGAAGGACCCCATGAGGACTCATAACGCGGTCATCTGCTTTAGCAACTACACCATTTGCATCCAGCACAATTCCAGCAGTGTCCCTTTTTCTTTTCAAAGACAATTCTATGTTGGCTTCTAAGCTAGTTTTACTGTCAAGAAGCTTTTTTCTTTCTGAATTCTCAGATGGTGAACCTATAACACTGTTATCCCCAGCTTCAACCATGGGGGATGCATCAAGCACCATCTTTTCAGTGTCCCTGATTAATTTCACAGGGAAATCAGTGCCTTTCAGTAAACTAGTTTCGCCAACTGTCAGCTTTTTAGATTCTAAATTCGCAAGTAGAGAACTGTTAGCGTCTCTAGCATCATCATTTTCTGCAGGCACGCGGCGGGAACAACCAAGCACTAATGGTTCCTCGTCTTTTGAAGAAGCTCTAACTTCAACCTTGAGAAGCCCTCTAGTCAAAGCCCTGTAACTTCGGCCTGACATCTTCGGCTCAAATTTCTTGATCTTATTACTCGACTCTTCTATATTATTTATCATTGTATCCCTGCTCTTCCCCATATCCGATGAAGTGTCTGCATTCCTGCCAGACTTATCTGATCCTTTGGAATTCTCCGAGGATACATTCTTTCCCTTATCGGACCTTTGCAAAGGACTTGCTGTTTTTTTCTTCTCCATTCTACCAAGCTTTCCTGTAGCTGAAGTAGGTGAGGAAGCCAGTCTCTCGGACCTTCGGGTAGAAGAAGTTGGAGCTATTAGCTTAGTAGGCGGCGGTATTCCCCGGCTTGACCTCCTCAACCCAGAGGTTTCTTGTTCTGTTAAGGCAGACGCTAGAGATCTGGTGCACATCCTTCCCGTTGAACCATGCTTTTCAACTTTCTTCATCTTCTCTGATGAAATCACACTTAACAGAATAGAGACAAAGACAATTCAAGGCCAAATTTTGATCACCGAGGAAGACTATCAGACAAAAAGCCTACAAATGCGGCGATAAAATTTTCTGATTAACCTTCCTATACGACACTACATCTAACAGACGCCTAAATTCCTTTCCAAAAGTAGATGCGATACTCTTACAAAAAACCTACACCGTTCGCCCGAGGCCAGAAACCCTCAATTTACCGATCCAAGGAAGAAAAAAAATTACCTAAAAAAAAGGAACGAAGCGTACCTACACGAGAGAGGAATGAGCAGAAGCTATCGCTTCACGAACTTCCTTCGAGATCGGTAAAATCTGTGAATTAAGATTTCCAGTACAAATCGTCGATGAATCGCTTTTTCGGGGTCATGCAATCGCCACGGTGTTTGGATTTCCGGAAAACGGAGCGGAGATACTATAAAAACAACCTGTGCAACTGTTGAGTAGGAAAGAGACGACGAGATTTGGGTTTTGCAATTACGCAGAATTAAGCCCGCGACGACACTCTCTTCTCGCTTTAAGGCTTCGTAATTTGTGAGAGAAGTGTAATTTTGTTTCGAGGTTTCATATGAATACATAACTTATAGAATTACACATTCCTTTCATCATCACTATATGCGGTGATTGGTTAACATAAACCATATATTAACAACATAAACCATATATTAGCAACATAAACCGTATATTGAGCAACGCAAAAGCGGCTCATGCAATCGAGAGGTTCAACGGCCCGTAATCCAATCAAAAGGATGTTCAACATTTAAGATTGATAGGAAGAACAAGAACTACAATCAAACGGAGATGGCATCCTTGTATTATATATATAGAGTCAGTCCATTTAAATGATATGTTTAATTAATTTCTATCTTGCTATTTAAAATTGATTGATAACAAATATTTATTAGTGTTCGCCTTTAGTTTTCAAAAGATAAACTAAAGATAAAACATGAAAAATAACTATATTCAAACTTAAATAGTAACTCTATTTTAGTTAGCAACGCTTTAGATGGTTAAACATGCCATGTTGGTGTGTAAAGTTTCACCAGACGCTCGTTTATACGCTGAAGCGGTCTAGCATTTGTATTTGATTGCTGCAGCAATGAAAGAAACAAAGAATTATGTATTAGACTTTATCACTATACTTTCTTATAAATTAAATTGCATCTCCGTTACATCACATCGCACTTTCTAATACTAGCTAAGTAAGATTAGAATTACGAAATTAAAACAGAAAATTAGAGACACTCACATCGTGTACAGCCACGCGAAGCAACTCCAATTGTTTTATTGTCACAGTCCTCATCTGCAAGTAAAACCAAATCGAGAAAGGAGATTTATATAAATGAGGCATTACAATATCCAACCATTATGGATAGGAACAAGAGCTGGTTAACAAAATCCAAATAAACAAACGCATAGAGAATACAAAAACTAAATTAATATTAAAATATAATATATAGATTACCAGCGATTATTTAAGGACGAAAAATAAAATAAACTAGTAATTTACCTCTTTGGAAATAGACCAGATAACATTTTCAGAACACGGAGGAGTTGTAAGTGATCCTAAATATCTATAGTAGAGTCTTGATTCAAAATTGACTCTTATTGGATCAACCATTCTGATATATTCCTCGGACTCATGTGTATCAGTTATCCTCTTCAATTGACTTTCCAACTAATCAATAAAAACAAAATATTGAATTCATATTAATATTTTAAAAAAGTACAGTAATTTTATAAAGTCAATGGTTGATTTAAAAGATAAGATATAGGAAGGTTGAAATTGCAATACCGAAAGGAGAAAAGAGTCAGGTCTTCCTAATTTGTAAAGGAAAGCCACAACAGCGATGCGTCCATCTTTGCTCTCATGAACCACATGTTCCTCGAGAACAAACCTATGAGCATTATTCAATCATTGCATGCTATTAGAATCGAATAAGCCCTCCATAAATTTTATTTTGTTGCAAAAGCAATATCGGATGTTGGATATGAAAAAACATCATAAAACTGTATTCCTAAAATTTACAGTTATTTAAATTCTTCGCTTTAGACGGACGTGGAAATGGTGTATTTATATAAATTCTCTGATTTCTTAGTCTTGAATAAACGTTTAACAGTAAGATATCAATTTTGACACTATTAAATATGCATGCTAGAACAAAAATAAATGTATAAGAGTAGAGATACCTTCTGCCACCAATCGTGTGTTCGGAAGGGGTGTGCCAATGAATCTGTTGAAGTTGATATGCAGTACCATTAATCACTATACCTAAACCTGCATTTCCTCCTTCAAATTTCAACTGCCATGTTAACAAGAAGAAGAAAAAAATTATAAATTGTAAATACGACTTAAAAATGAAAAATACTATAGTGGAAAAGGTAATAGTTGATTTACCATGATATCATGGCCTCGGTTCTTGATGGTGGCATTGTAAGGTAAGTAGTGGCTACGAAGAGATCCAAGATTATGATCAATTAAGACTCTTTTGGCCGTAAGATCAATCGGAGACTGCATTTTGCCGTTTCCACACATTTCCCATTCTGGCTTTAGTGTTCCCCAATTCTCTGGCCCCTTCTCTCCGTTCTTCTCATAGCTAAATTCTGTTTCGTCCTCTATATTTTTTGTTTGTGTACGAATAAAAACGATGTGCCTATATTAGTCTTTTATTTTAGTTTACAAGTCGCTTTGGGCTTAATATACGAGACCCTTCTTTGGATTTTTAATCCAAAATTTGGTGGGCTAGAATCTTTTTAATCTAAAGTCGGTTTCTTCTTGTTTTCAATACAAAAACTTTTCAACGTAAGCAATACTGATAAACGTTTAAAGATGATTAAGAACAATATTATAGCTTACCAACTTCTCCATGACCTGGTTGAGTCGAAACACTGGTAATCGAGACGAAGATAAAGAAAAATAAGCATCCAATTGATGATATCTTCATTTTCGTATGCTAAGTTTACGGGGAGAAATGAAAGAAGGTTAAAATTTTTGGTTGAGCTAAATTCTTATGGAAAAACTTCAAGGATATGATGATCAGACAATTGTATTTAAGCTATTTTATTTCTCTCAGTCAAGAAAACAAATCTTTCGTGCCTTAATTTGTTTCTAGTTTCCTTTAATTTTAACTAGTTTTCTTTATGTTTCTTTTTTATGGTAATCATTTTATAAAACTATCTAATTCTATAAGAGGGAAGGAGATCTTTGTGTGTAACAGTAGCACAAATTACATCGGTTACCCAAAAAAAGAAAAAAACATTAGCAACAATTAATTCCGAGATACTATCTTGGTGTGATTCATCCAATAAGTTGAGTGATTCTCAAGACAGATTGATATATACAGTAGTTATATAATTCACTGGGTTGTAGTGTCAAAGATTTACTAGATTCTAACGTGTGTTAATGAATTATATAACTTTAAATTCTACTTCTTATCAAAAAAAGAAAAATTGTCTATATTTTTAAACTTTAGATAGATACGAAATACCCTAATAACACTAAATCTAGTTAATTAGACAATTAGCCTCGTAAGGTAAGTAACAGTTGTGAAGATTCTAATTTGAAGTTTTGATCCATCAATTACTTCGTAAACATAAATTGTGAGGGGAACAAATCAACATAAACAGAGACTGCTAAAGTAATAAAACAAAAACATTCTATAATTTCAAAGTGAAACTACGATCCGATTTCAAACCGTGAGTACTCTGTTTCACTCTCATACCACCTGGCTTTGACATTTCGGAATAGTTCCTTTTTGTAAAAATATCAAACTTCGAAAAATAATTATTATAAATCTATTAAAATAATGAAAAATATTACACTAAATAAAAGCACCAAGCAAGGCATCTCATCTCAACTCTGAAGATATGGACATACACATCTAAATCTTAATCGGTCAGTTTGAGAAAGATGCGTGTATCAAACAGCTGAGTGACCATAAAGATTTCCCAAAACTCTTTATTTACATGTATGTATATACTTTGCATAAATGTATCTTCTTAGATATATTTTAGGGTCCTTTTCTATTTGTTTCATGCGTTCTTTTACCAGCAGTCATTGCAAGAACACACACCGTCTCTGAAATGGTGGAACCGAGCTCTGTCCCTGGCAATAATCTCCCTTCTGTAAATCTTGGAAATAAGCTTTGTAGCCTCATGACAATTTCTGCAAATTCTTAGATTCTTCACTATCGTAAGTTTAGTCCCAGGTTTCGTACTGATCAACCCAAATGCAATAGCTAGCTTCTCGCTGTGATGCCTGAGTGCTCCTTCTTTCCATTCTTCTTCAATCTCCTGCAAGACTTCAGAAGTGTCCGGAACAAACCCGGCTTTCTCCAGTAACACCTCCATTTCTTCTAACATTCCGTAGATTTCTCTGTTCCGTGGATGGACTTTATCCCCAATGATGAACTCATGAACCTCAGAATTTATTTCGATAGAGCTGCCACCGGGAACTTTCCTCATACCTTTATTATTGAGGAGCGCTCGTATTTTTGCTACTTTGTTCCATTCTCCTGCTGTTGCATAGATGTTAGATAGAAGTACATAAGAACCTGGGTTTTCTGGTTCAACCTTCATGAGGTTTTGTGCAAATGATTCCGCCAGTTCAAGATTCCCATGCGTCTTGCAAGCTTTGAGAAGGGAGCACCAAATCACTCCATCGGGCTCCATTGGCATCGTGTTTATCATTTCTTTTGCCTCATTGAATAGACCCGAATGACCCAAAAGATCAATCATGCAGCCGTAGTGCTCTAGTTTCGGAGTTATATTGTAGTCCTGTGTCATTGATCTGAAAATACGGCGTCCAAGGTCTAACATACCCGAGTGGCTACAAGCAGAGAGCAAACCAACAAAGGTGATACCGTCTGGTTCAATCCCATTCTTTCTCATTCTTGAGAAAAGATCGAATGCTGCATTGGCTCTCCCGTGCATCGCAAACCCAAATATCATTGCGTTCCAAGACGACAAGCTTCTATGGAGCATACTGTTGAACACTTGGTGTGCTGCCTCTATGTCTCCACATTTAGCATACATGTCGATGAGGCTAGTCCGGAGAGAAGAAGCATTTGTAACACCCTTTAATTTCTTGGCAATATACACATGAATCCATCTTCCAATATCGATGGCTCCAAGGTGTGCACAAGCAGGAAGAATACTTAGCATCGTCACATCGTTTGGACTTTCATTTGATCTCAGCATTTCTTGAAACAACAGCAATGCTTCTTTGTAAAGACTCATGTGTGTGTAACCACCAATCAAGGTATTCCAAGAAACTACATCCTTGTACGACATTCCCTCGAACAGACCACATGCTGTCGCCACTTCACCACATTTTGAATACAAATCGATGAGAGCATTAACAATCTTGAGATTTGAACCGAACCCATGATCATCAATCCATGAATGTACCTGACGACCCAATTCAATACTCCCAGACTGAGCACAAGCAGAAAGTACAGTGACCATTGTACTCTCGTCTGGACTAACGTTCGACTTCATCATATCTTCAAACAATTCGAACGCTTCTTTATAGTAACCGGTTTCGACATACCCTGAAATCATTGCATTCCATGACACTACGTCTTTATCTGGAATTTCATCAAACATCTTCTGGGCACTTTGCGTATAGCCTCTGGATGCATAACCGGTGATCAAAGCTGTGTAGGAAACCACATCTCGGTGAGAACTTCTATCGAACACCTGTTGCGCGTCTTCTAATCTCCCGTTTTGAGCGTACATGGAGATCAGAGAAGTGTGTACGTAGAGATCTAGACCATACCCGAATTTCAGAACGTGCCCGTGGATCTGTTGCCCTTCCCTTAAAGTATTCGATTTTGCACAAGATTTCAAGAGAAACGGGAACGTGTAGGAATTAGGAAGAAGCCCAAGTGAAATCATGGAAACATAAAGCTTGAGAGATGAAACGGGGTCCGAACTCAACGCGTGCCCTCGAAGCATTGTGTTCCAAATCAGCTGGTTCGGCTCCTGAATCGTCTCGAAAACAGAGATCGCATAAGTAAGGCCTTCAAAGTGTGGAGAGAGAACGCAGAGCTCAATAAGCTTGCTGAGAGCGTAATTGGTGTTGTGGAGGCCGGTTTTGATCATCTGAGCGTGGATTTTGCGTAGAGATTTGAGAGTTTTGCAATTGAGGAGAAGAGAAAGAGAAGTGTGGCTTCGGATAATGTCGTAGGGAGGATCGGAAGAAGAAGGAAGGAAATGGAATGTGTGACAAGAGGGAACGGTGAGAGGATGATACGAGAGCATCATGCTTGCTTCTTATCGCGTCTAACGGATATTTTAGCTACCCGCCAAAAATGATCGGCTTCAGTGATTGTACTTCCATCGCTCCATAGAATCAAGTCTCCAACGCGAGGAATCGAGCATTTTCCCTAAGTCCTCAGCAGCAAGAAACCTCTAGTGATCTTCTTCAACAGTGCTTCTCTCTGGGATAATCTCTCTGCGAAACTGATTGCTTCTGAAGCTGTCCTTCTCGATCAACAATGGTCGTTTCATCTGCTTCTAAAAATGCATGGGCCTTATTGGGTTTTTTACAAGTACGTGTGCTCATATTGGGTATCATATTGGGCCAGATTAACAAATCAGTAGAATGGGCTTTTTGTATGTGATGCTTAATCGGCACTCTTGCTAATGAAAACGAAATTCACCCGCCACATTTACTTTCCCAGTGACAAAATGATTTTTTGGGCGAGGGATCTTAAGAAAAAACAACTGCCATTGTGTTTATACGAATGTTTTTGTTTTTTTTCAATTTCTTATTATAATATCCTTTGTAAAGTTTAAACTGTAAACGGTACAACAAAAAATAACGAAATGTTAACAGCAGTAAGATTAGGGTAAAACATAAATATATATCGGCCTTTATATCAAATGCAATACAATTAACATAAATTAGATGATACGATAAATTGATACACACACATCAAAACAGCATAATTAAGAATGGTAAATGGCGAAACCATCATTTTAGTGTATAAATCTATATGAAGAATTAAAGATTTGTAAGAACTTGTAATGCCTAATTAATTAAACCATTGGTCTGTATAAGTGAACCACGCGCTTGTTGATTGGTTGAACCGGCCTCGCATTCGAATTTGCACCCTGTTAAAGATAGTATTATTAAAAACTAGGTGAATATCCGCACGTTACGTGCGGATTTATCTTTTTAAATTTTTCGATTTTTTTTGTTATATTTTTATAAAAGTTAATATAATCATCACTTATTATTTACTTACTTGTTAATATTTTATTCTAAATTTTTTTAAAAATATTAATTTAAATATATTGAATATTATTTAATAATTTAAAATTATATTAAAATTAATACATATCATTCAATATTTTTAATTAGTTATATCATAAATTTTTGTTTGACATTTACACAAATATTAATTAATAGTCAATTAATAAAAAAAATTAAAATCTTAATCATCATTTTATTTACTACTTGTTAGTATTTTATTATAAATAATCTTAAAAATTAATTTTAACATCTTGAATATTATTAAATAATCAACAGTTATATAAAAATTAAATATATATCTATCAATATTTTTAATTAGTTATAACATAAATTTTTGTTTAACATTAATATAAATGTTAGTTAATACAATCTTTTTCATATTCTTTAAGTGCTTATATAAATGTTAGTTAATACAAACTTTTCATATTTTTTAAATAGTTTAAAATTTAATATTAAAATTTATTATTTAAAATTTAGTTGACAGGTATCAACTTCTCCAAATACTGATGTGTCAAGCATATGGAGAAAGTTGATTGTCTTTTATATATAAGATGATGAAGAGGAGTGAATAATTCGCGCAACAAAACATCATCGTCTTAATTATCTTCATTCTTCCCTAATACCATAAGTAATCATAATTCCGTAACGATATGCAGTCGAGATTATATGAGATTTATGATGTTTCTAGTAATTTTATAAAAATGCATTACGTTGACATGGGAACTGAATCAACTGATGATGAGAAAAACTTACATCGTGTACAGCCACGCGGAGAAGCCTCACTTGTTTTCTCGTCACGGTCCTAACCTGAAAAATCGAAGAAAAATATTTCTCTAAGCCTACACTACGCAGTTTAAGAGCAATTAACATAGCAACAAAATGAAGTTTTAAATAAATAAAAAACACCTTTCTAACGACGCTCCAAGTAACGTTCTGGGTACAAGGAGGAGTGGTAAGTGAACCAATATATCGGTAATATTTTCTGCTTCCGATCTTAATTTGTTTGGGATCAATCATCCCTACATTTTTCTCTGCCTCCTCCATATTGGTAATGGCCTCTAGTTCCTTCTCCAACTAGCACAAATCCAAAAATTAAGAATAGCTAAATCAATTTATATCGTTGATAATTAATAATACAAAAGCATGCAATCAATAATACTAGCTATTACTCCGATCTGATAAAAGCATGGAGTAAGTGTTTATATGTGTACCGATCTGATAAAAGTATCTGCTCTTCCGATCTTGTACAAAACAGTCACAACAGCCATTCTCCCCTTCTTGCCTTCGTGCACCATATGCAGCTCAAGTGCAAACCTGATTTGTAAGTTATAAGTTTTATATTACACATATCCAAGAGTCCGATGTGTATCGACTGAATTTTATTATTTTGTTATACTTTAGATATTATTGAATTGTTGCTCAGAGATAATTTATTTCTTTTCTTTTTATTTGTCTCCAGTATTTTCTTCTGCCTCAAAACCATTTTACAACTATTGATATCAGACATCCAAGACTTTTGGTGCAATCGTATTTCTTAAAATGAATTGGTTACCTTCTTCCGTTGATTGTATGCTCAGAGGGAGAATGCCAGTGAAGCTGTTGGAGTTCATATTGAAAACCATTCATCTTAATACTTCCTGCTCCATCTTCAAATTTTAGCTGCAACCATATTAACAGATAAAAATTGGTTTAGTAAAGTTTAATCACAACTACATTTATTGGTAGAAACACAGAGCTCAATGGCTTAGTTGCTACAATCTAGCTAGGTCTGAGTACGTTTATATATAAACTCAAGAAAATCAATGAAAAGCTATATGCTTGAACAGATGGTATTTTATATATACATACCATAATGTCATGACCTCTATTCTTGAGAGTGGCATTGGAAGGTCTATAGTCTCTATTAAGCCTTCCAAGATGAGAAACAGTGTTAACTCTCTCGTTCATTAGATCAATTGGAGATTGAATGTCTCCTTTTCCACACATTTCCCATTCCGATTTAAGTTTGCCCCATCTCTCTGGCCCCTTCTCATCGTTCTTCTTGTAGTTAAACTCGTGTTCGTCCTCTACATCACCAATATATCGTTTTTTTAACGATTGTCATAAACCCTAATTTTGTATCAATTATATAAATAGAGAAGTTCAAAGATAACGTACCAACTTCTCCATGGCTTGAAGCAGCACTCGAAATCGAAACAATGGTGAAAAAAATTGAGAACATAACAAAGAAGATGTATCGGATTGATGAGTTCTCCATCTTTGTGTTTGTCTTGTTGAAGAGGGAAATAGAAGAGAGTTGGCTTTTTAAGCTTTAGATTCTAAGAAAAGTTATTAATGATATAAATACTTATCAAGGCAGAGGATTTTGTACGAATATGTTAAAGCGTTGGGTTATTAATCCACAAGACTTCCTATGCTCTCTATTCCTTCCAGACGGCATCTTTGACTATTTTGGAAAATATGTTTTTATTTAGATTGGGAACAAAAGGCAGGTGTGAATCAAAGCCTAATTCATCACCAAATCTGTACCATTTCCAATTTTTTTAAAATACACAGTGGGATTTATTGTGTTCATTCCTATATGTCAATGATTTTCAAGAATGTGGCACCATTTTTTTTTACTTTTGAAATAATGAAGAAACAATTTCTCATCTGAATCATTAATTGCCTTATTCAGCAGACCTTACAGGTTTTTTTAGTAAAGTAATTATTATTAAGAATTCAATGCATCCGATGTAAAAATGACAAAAGGAATTTTCAATTGCTAATCATGATATCAGAAACCTTGACTCATTGTCAAATTTCAGTGCTGATGTATAATAAATCAAAAACTTTGACATGAGATCTTCTTAATAATTAATAAAACTATTATCTTTATAATTAAGCAGTACACGGAAAAATAGTTTTGTGGTAATCTAACATGAAAATTATGTACATATAATACTAAACCTAACTAAACCCTAAAATTAAACACATAATACTAAAACCTATATAATATATATACTCTAAAATCTTAAACACTAAGCCTTCATCTCCCAAGCCTAAATCTTTAACCCTGAATGACTAGGGCAAAATAATTCACTCCTTCAATTCTAAAAGATTGAACCTAATTCTGAGTTTTTGTTGGTTTTTATTTCCAATTATCCGTAAATCTAAAAAAAAAGGTAAAGTACAAAAAGTGGAAAGTAAGAATTGTAAGAAAAGGAATTTTGTACAAATAAATGTAAAACATTTGCTAAGGAATTAAAGATATACTGTATCAATTTTTAGTTAGACTGATTTTATAACTCACTTTCATAAATTTTCTTAATTATTTATAATTTATAATAATTTATCTGCTAATTCATGTTAACACGACAGAGAATATCTAACTTCATTGAAAGAAGAACAAACACGAAGAAAAACTGATGAAAAAATACGTTTCGTCGTTTCCCAATGTAAAACCAATACCTGAAAACAACATTTTGAAGTACTGTAACGTTACTTTCCTGCGTACGACCAAATCGCATCAGGAGAGGAACACTTTCTGAAATTTTCAGACCATTAGTCTAAAAAGTAATTATGTAGAGTGGTTGTGGCTAAAAGGCTAAAATTTCACTATGTTTTAAATATTTTATAAAAAAATAGAAATTTCACCATCTGGATTCCACAAGGTCAAAGAACCGTTTCACCTTACCCTATATTATAATTTACTGAATGTTGAAGTGATGATCCTTTGAATATCATGGTCGTATCATCTAGAAACCATATATTCTTAGTTAATTTTCATAATAATAAATATACGAGTTTGTGCCCTTCTTTTTTGAAACCCTCCCACCATATATAAGATAATGTACAAATTAAATAGATATTTCATAAATATACATCATGTTGTTGTGAGATTAGTCGTTGATATATATCATCCATTTTATGGACTGATTTTAAAATTTGATCTTAGCATCCGTATAGAGAGTCTAGAGTCTAGACTAGACACCGCCCAGGCCAACTTAGTATTTGTTCAATTTTTTTCTTAATCAAGAGCTCTTTAATTTTTGAGGTTCTTCGTGGGCCTAATCTTATTACTAGCCCATACTGTACTGTGTTATTAATTAACTTGGAAGAGTGACTAATCTTATAATTAGCCCATACCCGAAATTAGTGAAGCCTTCCTTGCTCAATATAGCTGCTGTGGGAGTTATTAAAACTTTAACTCTTATTCGTTTTGGAAATAGTCTTATTCTAGTTTTAAGTTGAAAACAAAAATTCTAATCATGTAATTTTTATTAATTTTGTACGTTTTATTAACGATAGTTGTTGGATTATTGATATGATTTATATTTGTTACTATGTCTATATATATTATAGTTTTTATACAAAGGGAAAAAGATCCACCACATATAAACGTCCGCATACTACCTAACGGCTAACTCGTAACGTATTTGAAAACACTGATCATATAAGCAATACTAAATTAGAAAGTACTTTTCTAATTTATAAAGTTAATAGCTACACTTAGCTGATTAAATCTAAAATTAGTTAAACAGTAGTAGTAGTAGTTTTCTATATTTGATAGTCAGCGAGAACGTCTATATCTGAAATGTGAAAAATTATACGAAAAGTCTTATTGTACGTCATCATCAAATATCTGAATCATTGAGTTGCCAGCAATGTTTGATAAGCCGGGCAGACCACGTTGCAGGTCAATGGAGCCACTATTAGTTATCACAATATATTAAATCAAGGTCTCTCCACCAGCCCAAGCGCTAATTAGGAAATGTCTGAAATATTAGTTTATTTGAGTTGCGACAGCGTCTAATTGAAATTATGTGTCCATATGCAAGTTGTGTATGCCCAAGACAAAAGACAACTAAACGTCGATAATGTAGTTAATAGATGGATAAGCCCAATAATTCTAAATTAGGAAAATATTTTTTTTAAAAAAAGATGTGTACCCTATTGTTTTCAATGTTGAATTTATAACCACTGTTAAAATAATAATTGGTGCTAAGACGCTTGACTCAAGCATTGCAATTTTGCGCTATAGCAATGCATGCAAATATGTAGTTCTTTTTTTAAAAAAATATATATATATATGCCTCAATTCGGATTTTGAAGCCACAATTATTATATAAAACTTAGGTGTAATAGTTTTACTAGCACAATTTTATCTTCAATTATGTTTAAAAGGTATTATGTTTAAAAGTTTCATTAAGAAATTGATAATTTTGCAATATGAGATAGTGGAATCGTGATGTTGCGTAAGAATCAAGGAATCAATATTTCGCTTTATACTTATGAAGTCTAAATTTTGTGTCGACAAGTTACTGATTTTTGCATGAGAAACACAAAATCAAGATTTGTGTTGGAAATGTGGAAATGCAATCTTTATTAGGGAAAAAAAACTGTGAAAATACAATTTAGCTTCAAATTCGTGATTTTTGTTTAAACCTTAATATTCCATGAGAGTCGTGAAATCTAAACGTCTTCAATGAATGTAGTTTACAAATTAAGTGGTTCTTGACAAATAAGTAAAACATAATCATAAAAATCATGCGGTTTGAGGACTATAGCATTTTTCTCAAAAAAGTATGTTCTTAGGATATCTGTGTGGTTTTAGTTGAATTATTTTGACGGAACAAAAGGAAGAAATTATTGTTTATAAAATTATAAAGGGACGTCGTTTTATTATACTGTTAATTAATTTTAGATTATTAATAAATAAAATGTATATCATTATATAAACCATTATTTTTAGTTTTTGTAAACTCATACTTTTTGTGTAAATTTTATGTAAGTTTTTTGTCGACAATATGATGTATGATTATGCAGTTATAATTTAATTAATTAGTTTTCATTAATTAATTTAAAACAACAAAAATAGACCAGCAAAAAGAAAGTTAATTTTACTCGCAATAATACATTATTAATCATTAATGATATGATTAATTACAGTACATGGATAGTCATTGTATTGTAGTATTCCCTTGTCTTACATTGTATTATTTAGCGAAAGTAGTACACATGTTACTTAATAACTACTTTAAATGTGTCATTAAAAAAACAAAACAAAACTACTTAAATGTGCTGAGCTCATCAAAAAAGTTAGACATTTTGAGTTTTCACATTTCGACAACGAATTTATGTTTGTTTCTCATATCCCAACTTGTTGGAAAAGTGACACGTCAGCAAGATTGATTGATAAGCACTCAGTCATTTGACGTTTTCAGAAACCCATTTGGCGACATAACCACAGTTTGCTCAACTGGCCTGACGTCACGGCGCGGAGAGTACGGAAACTGCGTGCACACACATTTCGCATTTAAGATTTTGATTATACGCATATCTACATATCAATACACCGTGTAATATTTACATGATACATGCACCGAAGAGTTCTTTCTTTCTTTCTTTGTCAACCTTTGTTTGGTATTAACTGCTATGAACTTTTGGGAAGATTCAGATTCACTAGCTATAGATATGTTTTCTATAGCAAAATCTATATCAATTTTTAATTTGTATTTTAGTATAAATATTTCACAATATTAACAGGATTATTTCTGTAAAAATGGGTATCATCACCAATCACCAATTCATCGTCACTTAAATACACCCACACACAAATAAATGTTTAGACATATTATAAACCTTTTTAGTCACGATTGACATCAATAATGTGTTTTTCCATTGTTCAACGATAGCAAAATTTATATAGAAAATGATGTATATGAATCATTATAAACTTTTTGTTGTTGTTTTTGTGAAAGTCATGCAATCGTAAGCAATTTGAAGAGACAACTAATGTGCAGCTAAGGCCACTCTAAATTCGGCCGTCCAGGAGATCAATTAATTTATCCACTAAACGATCATATTTTCCTTTTTTGGATACTATTCAGCGTAGGTAATGACAACGATTACCCTCCAAGACTAGGTGATTGTACAATATCTCTCAAGACATATCTTCCTTACGTGCCCTAGATGACAACTAATGATGCCAATGTAAATAAAAAATAATTAGTGATCCGGTTTGGCCAAGTAGGGCCGGATTAGACCAGTTATACTCGGCTCTCCAACTGGACCATATATAACAAATCCAACTATAGCCCCATAAAATCTAGCAAATCCATACTCGGGACCAACTGAACCAGCCACTATGTTTAGTTCCACGCGATTTGATGGACAGAAGTTTTCATTGTACTTATTATAACACAACCATATATCACCATTAGGAAGGGTAGAGCGGTAATTTAGAAGGAAAAAGGCAACCTTTGGGATAAGCGA